GGGGATACACTTTGAAAACCATTGCTCAAGAGAACGTCATTCCTCAGTCTAGACCTTATCATCCCCAGAACCAACCCCATGTCCCACCGAGGACGTTCCTTCAATGCCCAGATGGACCCTCCCCCTCTTCCCCAAATAGACCGCCCTCATTCCCTGAGAAAGAGGCCCTCTTTTCTCTAGAACCCTCCCCAATTCTTCCTCCCACCCCCACTACCACGAAGACAGAGCCTCCATGAAGGTTCCCTAGAGCCAGAAGGTAAAGACTGATGTTAACTGGTTTATGGGGCACAAGGCAGAAGCAGAAAATTCCTGTCTCAGCTTGGTGCTGGGAGCTAATCTAGCAGCAGGACGGTACCAGGGTCCCATGGGAGCTGGAAAGGACTTGAACTGGGGACTTTGGAACTGCCCCAGTTCTGCTTCCACCACCGCAGGTCCCTCACCCATGGAGCCTACTTGACCACCGTGATAGTGTCTCATCTTTGGACAGAATGGTTTTAAAGTGTATTTGTCAGTGGGAGGATCCTCTGCTGGCCACCTGGGGAAATGCAGCCCAGAACCGTCAGCCCCAGGCAGCCCTTTCCCTCTAGAGGCAGGAAGTGAAGATAGGCATAGGCACTCCAGTCCTGACAGTAGAGGGGCAGTGTACTTACTAGGCGGAGTTCCTGCGGTGGCTTTAACAAAATACGTTGTTTAAAATTATAAGAATGTAATAACAAAAGCAAGTAGTGTTGACATGTATCATAAAAGTGTAGTGTTTCTCTCTCCATCTCACTCCTGCTATGTAGTGCCATTTCCTTTTGACAAGGAGAAAATGAGAGGTTCTCCAAAGCTGCAGGATGCCAAGGTTCTCTGCCCAAGAGTCCCTGTCTTATTCCTTGACAACCCACATGCTTCCCTCCTCCCAGTCCAGCTTGCCGTCTTCCTTTCCCTAGAACTTGAACTCCCGTACTATTCCAACCACCTGTCTCCATTCAGCAGCCTGCTTCCCTGAGGACACTCTGGACTCAGAATAGCTCCATTTAAACATGTCCCCTTTCTGATCACAACCTTTCCTTTCTGCCCTCTAATCTTCAGAAGCCCAGCTGGAACCTCCAGTGCTTTGATTCTAACTACTACCTTCCAGTCTCCCAGGGCCTCACTGTCCAGCCTGGACCACATGATCTTCCTCCAGCTGCAGTAATTACTCTGCTCCTTGGCCCCAGGCAATCCATGTCCTGGCCAGCAGGCCACGGGTGTGGATCAACCCAGTGGTCTGTCTTCTGCTTTTGTCCCAGGGGTGCTAGGATCTGCTACAAAAAAAGGGGGTTGTGTTGAAGCTGCCACTGCCTGGTCTTGGTCTTCAACCTCGCTGGGTCACTAGGTGATCTCTGACTCCACTATCTACCAATGTTACTACTAAATTTGACAATTCTTATGAATCTCCTTAATCTAACAGATTATCCTTCAGTAACCTTAATTCCTACTTTACCAAGGAAACTGAGACCAATAGGCATAAAAATCCCTCTCACACTTTATAACCTCTTACAAACTAAATCTGTGGCCCACTCCTGCCCAGACCTCCTTCCCTCTACTCAAAGGAGTGGGTATCTTCATTCTTTTCCAAGTTCCATCCACTTTTCCTCCATATTTCTTGTCCAGTCAGGAAATTCAAGCTATTTAGCATGGTATGAAAAAGTTTTCAATCTCCCCCATCCTTCCTTCTCAGCCTCAACTCCTTTGCCACTGTACATGAAATAGGTATGCTCCTTATCCCCAAGTGTACCATGGGAGTCCCAATCTTGAGCAAAATTCACTCATTCAATTACCATTCATTGAACATCTGTATTTACCAGGTCAAAATCTTAACAGTTATGACCTTATTTCTCTCTTATACCCACTTAGCTTGTCTGTGCTCATCAGCGACTGTGGACTTGCCCCAAGTAAGAGAAAAGCATTAGCTTCCACACTTCCAGGAAGGTTCTCTCCCTGCCCTTATCCACTTCTCAATCTTCAGACACCACAATGTCTGACTCACGGGCTGACTCCAGAGGAAACTCTATGGCAGTTAAATTAGTCACCCCCTTCCTCCAGGGGTCTGCTCTGACTTACCCCCAGCCTCTAATGTCCTTCCACAGGCCTCTGGCTTTATAACCCCCTCAATAACCCCTCAACTCCCGATCCAACGCTTTCTAAGCCATGACACGTGAGCCTAGGTGGCCCTCCTCCTGGAGAACTGGCATCACGCAGCAGGCAGCCAGAATCTCTTGTTGTCCCCGTGGTCCATACAAAGCATGAGCTTTAGTATGGGTATGACTGATGAGACTGGCAGGGAAGGCCCTTCAGAAAGGGTGCTGGCCTGACTCTGAAGGCCAAGAAAGGTCCAGCCAAGAAATGGATGGCATCGGTAATGCTCAAGTGGCAGCCCAAACCGCTGCTTAGAACACTAGTAAAACCAGGGCACTGAAAAATGAAAGGGAAAAATTCAGACCAGAATTTGATAGCTAATATACATATTTCCTTAAATTATAATATAGACTTCCTTATATACACTTCATGGTTTAATATTTTCATTTTGAATTCTATGTGGAGAATGGGGCCCCACAGTATTTTCAGGGTTTAGAGTCTTTAGTTTTCAACGGATCCTGGTTAGGAGAAAGGTCTTCAATGATTTGCTTTGGGCCCTGTTCTATTTAACCTTTTAACCTACTACTTGGAGATAGTTGTCAGTCAAGACTACTAAATCGAGATTTAATGGCAAATATGAGGGCCTGCTGTTGGGTCCAAGGGTACAACTGCATGTATCCGGAGTGAAGGAGCATGGTTTGGGCAGTAAAATATCTACTTAGGGGTTCTAGAGGGCAGTGGCTTCACAACAAACTGTGGTGTAACCACCAAAAACACAGGCCAAGGTGAGGGTGAAGAGGGGGCCCCTCACTACATGACACAGAGGTAGAGAATTTGTTTAGTGGAGACAGGGCATGAGTGGCACAATCAGTACAGGATCCGAGAGAAGTGAGCCTGAAAATTCAGCTGTTTTGCTTGTGGAAACCTTTAATTCATGTTTCCTGTCCTCCACACTGCCATTTCTTGAAGGGGATCTGAGGCAAAGTGAACATCCACTCTGACACCCCTTAAAGCCCTTGTTATTTGCCTGAATTCCTGCAGCAGCCCCCTAACTTGGACCAGCTGGCTGTCTCTCTCAATTTATATCCATCATTAGGATGGCCGTTCTAGAACTACACGGTCCTTGCAGGTGGCCTTGCCTTCCGTTCCAGCATCTTCATGGCCTGTGGCCCTCTCTGCTGCAGACCATCAGGAGCCCTTCAGGCCTGGTTACAGGCCCTACTTCCTCTGCCTGGAGTAACCTGCCCACCCGTGGAGATGGTAGCTCTCATCACCTCCTTGAAGCCTCTCCTGATCCCTTGCTCAATACTGTCTACTCCCTCTGAGCCTCCTAAATGAACCCTGACAGGCTTCTGCCACTCCACTCATGTCTCTCCCTGGCCCTATACAGCAAGTCCTTCCAGGGTAGGTCCTGGGTCTCATTCATCTTTGTATCCCCAGCACGTACCACAGTGCCTGGACTATAGGACTCAGTAAATGGCCGATGGACTTAGTGAAGATTTGTTTCCAATTATTTGTCATAGCCACTGTTTCTCTTAATAAGAATTAAATTTGGTCCTTTAAAAGAGGCCCAGACATCTTATTACACTGATGGACAGTGACTGCATTGGGGTATGGGTGGGGACTTGATAATATGGGTAAATGTAGTAACCACATTGTTTTTTCATGTGAAACCTTCGTAAGAGTGTATATCAATAATACCTTAATAAAAAATTAATAAATCAATAACATAAAAATAAAAGAGGCCCAGAATCCTTTTGGGGCAGCTTTCTGCCCATGCAACACCGCTGTATTTCCCTGACTACCAGAGTGGCAGAGAACCTAAGACTGGACGCAGGGTGCTCAGAAGCGGCAGGACAAGCCTGAAGAATTGCTTCGTATTTTGGAGGGTTTCAGTTTCTTTGAGAATCTAAGCACAGACCCTTTCCTTAGGGAAATGCAGTTTTCTAACTTGGTTCCTGGATCCCAGTGCCTGCCATTCCCTAGGGCTGCCAAGCCTCCTTCCCAGCTCCTCAGACCCCAGGGAAAGAACCCCTGCCCCAGACGCACTTGTTCTCATCCGGGCTGTGGCTGTGCTCAGGGCTATCTTCCTGGTGAGCCCGACCCACCCACTCTGCAGCGCCGCCACTGCCCACTTGTGGCCTGTGCCTAGGACTGCCACATAGATGGCAGATGCTCTAGATATGGAGAAGCTCACCGACGCGGGCCGGGGTAGACAGGGAACAAGAGAACAGTTAAAAACAAAAGTAAACCCTAGTCCCTAGAAGAGGAACAAGCCTAATTATTCAGCAACTCTCCTGGGCAGCTGTAGCCCCTTATTACCTAGTTAACATAAGAAATGAGTAATAGCCCAAGTGTTTATTACCAAAAACAACTGTTACACACACACTCAGTGCCTCCAATCCCATCCCTGAGGATAAGCATGAAAGTCCTTGGGGTTGCAGGAGGAACCTTTCAGAGGAAAATGGCTGCCTGACTCACAGTGCCTTGGCTGGCTGTGAGGAAAGGGCCCTTGCAGGAACCAATTACATGTCACACCCCTGGACCTAAGGACGCCTAGAGATGGGAATGGATGCAAGTTACCTAAGGATTTTAATCACTGCTCCATCATGTCCAGGAGATACGGTCAAGCCTATTGGCCCCTCCACAAGAACACACACAACCAGGGGTCCAAAATCCTCAAAGTATCCAAACTCTTCAGGATCCCCACAAATCACGGTCTGTAGAAAAGGGAAGGCCTTCGGGTATGCCAAATGATGCAAGTTGGGTCCAGAGTGGACCACACTGCTACCGGGACCGGGACCGCTGCTAAAGGCATCCATTAGCAAGGGCCACCCACTGGGGGCGCTGCCACCAGCCCAGCTCAAACCCCAGAGCCTTGGGTAGGAATGGTCAGGTTCTGCAGCTTCCATACCATCTGGACTTCTGGCTCCTTGGCTATTTCCTGAAATTTTTCCACAATGACCCGGAGCAGGGCTTGAGGGCTGGGCTGGGGCGCAGGGGATTCTCCTGGGGCTTCGGATCGCACACAGCAGACAATCGCTCGTCTGCTCGCTAGCCTTGGGTATTGGTCTGATTCACCACGTGGGTAATGGAGTGGAGTGTCCTGAGAGGCTGAGAGGGCTGTCCTCTCACCGCCCCCCTCCCTCCTCTTCCTCTTCAGCTTCGTGCTTGGGTCCTGGATCCCCTGACACCGTTTCCAGAAGGATGCCTTGCAGGCCACTCTCACTGAGAGACGCTTCCAGGCCTGACCCCTCTTGGGGCTGCCGCAGCAGCTGCTGGGTCAGCTCGACACTCTCGTAGCGAACCAGCTGCAGCCGCATGTAGCCGTCTTCATGTTCCTTGTACCTGGTGAAGCAGGAGCACAGAGGGCAGCAACGGCAGGCAGGGAGGGTGCAGGAATGGCTTGGGGACTGGCAAGGTAAGGGACGTATACAAGACGGAGGAAGCCCCAGGAATATTAAGTGATGGGCACTGAAGACAAGGTTTTTATTGGAATATACAGAAGACAGAGGGAAGGATCATTACTCAAAATGTAAAATTTTAGGTAGAAACCTGCAAGAGGGAGGGAGGAATGATCTGTTTTGGAGAGTGGGGGTGTCAAAGGATTTATGAGAAGGCCATGGACTGCAGACAGTATCCTTAGGCTCTGGCTACAAGACTTCTGGCACCATTTACTGGAGTTGGCATAGTGCCTTGGATGGCAAAATCAGAAAACTTAACTTTTGCCCCTATTCTCTGGGTTCCTTGATGGAGATGGTGGACATCAAAGCTCCATTATATTCAAGGTTTTTAACTTATTGAAAATGTATTTTAAAAAATCTGTGTGAATCTCAGGAAGGGCTGAGACATACCGAAAACGGGGGTGCCCTGAGGGCCACTTGAACTGGTGCTTCTTGCGAAGGTGCATCGTGAGGTTGTTGCCCCTTGTGAAGCACTTGTCACACACGTGACATTTGTACCTTGGCTCTAAATCTCCCTGATGGGGAGGCAAGAGGAGAGAGAATGAGAACAGCTCTTCCTCCCAACTCCCCACACCTCTGCAGCTCTCCCCCATTCCCAGCTCCACTCACTTCATGCACTTTTCGGTAGTGGGACTTGACAGAGCAGAGGGATCGAGCGCTGAAGCTGCAGTTTGCAAAATCACACCTGTATGCTGGCTCCTTGCTATGGGTATCAATGTGCTTCCGAAGGTCAATCAGATTCTTGCAGCTGCCAGGAGAGGTCAGGAGGGTTGGAGGGCATGGGGGGCCCGGGAGGGCATGAGGACCCTGGCACACACAAGTTTGCTGATTTCTGGTCCCTGGCTCCCCTCACCTGTAGTCACAATAGTCACATTTAAAGGGCCGGTCCTCACTGTGGCGAAACCGCATGTGGTTTTGGAGGGAGGATGGCAGCGGACAGGTCATGTCACACAGAGGGCACTTATAGTGGTTCACTGAGAGAAGCAGAGATGAGGCTGTGATCTGCGGGCAAGAGAAACCTGGGAGGGTGGGCGAGGAGGCTCAGCGCTCTGGCTACTCACCATGGTTACGCATGTGGTCCCGCAGCAGCCGCTCTGTGGCAAATCTCTTGGAACAGTGAGAACACTGAAAGCGTTGCTCTGGGGTGGGGCAGGCAGGAAAAAGGGTGGGTTGTGGGGGTGGCAGAGAGGCAGAGAGGAGAGAGCGACCCCAGGGAGGGAACCTTCCAGACAAAAGCGAACCACCCGAGGAGGGAAGGGGAACTTAGAACTATGGATGGACAAAGCATGGTGGAAAGAGCATGGGTCTTGGAGTTGAGAACCTGAATCAGAATCTCGGCTTGACCACTTACTAGCTGTGTGATCTCAGGTAACTGATTTAACCTCTCTGAGCCTCAGTTTCCTCATCTGCAAAAAGGGGGATAAGCCTACCTCATGGGGCTGTTGTGAGGATTCACTGTGGTAAGAGGTACGGCACATGGTAGGCACTGAATAACAATATCTAATGACGCTGAAAATCTGAATGAGCAGAGTCTGGGGCAAGTAACTGAGCCCTAAAGGTAGATGTGGCCATGTTGCATTACCTCCAGTGGCCCCCTTGCTGAGAACAGACCCCCAATTCCCACCCCACCCAGGACAACCTGCACCCGCCCCCCTTCTTCTCTGAGTGCTTACGATCCAATGAGGTCTGGCGACGGATGTGATCGAAGAACTTGGTGTTGTTGGCGAACATGCCCCCGCAGGTGGGGCAGGCCACCACCTTCTCCTGGGTGTGGCTACGGAGGTGCTCACGGAGCTTAGAGCGGCCTTTGAAGGTGCAGGCACAGCCTGGGAGGAAGGCCCCGTGAAGCCACAGACACAAACCCCCCACAGTAGGTTCTGGTACCCCCAGGTCTCTCCAGCCAGCAGCCAACCCTGCCCAGCAGGACCGGTCCCATCCCTAGCTGCCCCAGCCCCTTAGCACTCCTAGGGTCTCTTTAAAAGCCAGCAGTTAACGAATGGCCCTACCTTTCCAGCCACATAGCACCACGTGGTTGTCCTTGCCAAACGCTTGGTAGTCACAGCACAGGGTGTGCGCCTCCACATGCCGATAGAACCACTCAGGATTGTCGAAGGAACTCTGTGCCAGGAGCAACTTGGGGTAAGGCTGAGGGTGGGTGGAGGGACTCTCACCTCCACATGTCCAAAGGGGGCTTCTCAGCTGTCTCCCAAATTGACTTGGTGGGGATAGCAAAGTGCGGGCAGGGAGCTACCCAAAAATGAAAGAGACACACTAGCAGGGGCCTCGGGAACACAGGGTGTCCCTGAGAGAGTCAAGGCATCTTGAGTAAAGATCCCCAGCTTCCTTCTACTCCTACTACCTCACAGTGCTCCCACAGACAGAGGAAGTGATCAGGAATGTCTGGGATGAGGTTGCGGCTCTGGAAATCCAGGACACAGGGGCTGAGTTCGGCCTGGTTCTGCAGGGCCTGCAGCCCCCACTGCTTCAGCTTGGTGTGGTAGCAGTGGAAGTAGACATGGCGGACGAGGTCAGCAGAACTGTCCAGAGAACAAAAGCCACATTCCTGCCACAAGCAGGAGAATTCTTCCTCTGCAGAAAGGGGGTTAGAAAGAAGAGTCGGATACTTTCCGAAGCCCAGCTCTCTTTCCACCTGTGGCACTTTGCAGCAAGTGAGGAGGCTGAACTCTGACCAAATTACCAGGAGTCCACTCAGCAGATACCAATATTTAGTGGCCACCTATTATGTACCAGGCACTGGGGATATAATAACAAGAGAAAAGAGCCCCAGACTTGCCCTTGAATAGCTTTCAGTCAGGGAGACTGACTGAAACTGAATACTCACACGTATAAAAATAAAATGGCAACTAGTCCTAAGGTCCATTAAGTGGGGAGGGGGACCTGTGGTACTATAAAATAGTTAACCAGAGGTACTTTGACATAGACAGGGATGTCCTGGAAGTGTCCCTGTGTCGTGATCTGAAGAGTGAGTATCTGTAAACTCGGTGGAGAAGATGTGGGCTAGGCAGAGGGAAATGCGTGTGCAAGGCCTGGTGCCAGAAGCTCGGAGGCTGCAGGTGTGGCTGGTGTGCACTCCTCTGACCCTGAGTTTCTGCTGTTAGCTGAGCAGATGCTGCCTCCCAACCTGGGACACCTTCCATTCCTTCCTGTCAAACCCTAAGTCGTTCTTCCCCCCATATTCTGCCCAAGAGCTGTCTTCTCCAGGAAGGCCCTCAACAATTCCAATTCATTTCCTAGCTCTCTAGCACCTCTCTCTAAGCACCATATTTTCCATGTTTTTAGGGGTTTACTTGTTTTGAAAAGTAGATACTTGAAAAAATATAATAATCCAACTTCTCTTTTGATAAATATTACCTGACTTTCAAAATAATCAATTATAGTTCATAGTTACTAGGCTGAAAACAGCACTTGAGGTGGAGGAAGGAGAGCCACCTCTCTGCTTCCTGTAGAACAGAGGTTTTCAAACTGCTGCGACCTATCGGTGGGTGGGGAAATCAGTTTAGGCAACTGCAAACCACATTTTTAAAAAAAATGATGAGAATAAGATAAAACATTTCAGAGAACATTCAATAAAGGTAAGTACTATTTCAACTATTTTTAACTTTTGTGAATGGGTTTGTGATGTAAAATGTATTCCCCACTGGTGGTTACAGTGGGAAAGAAAAAAAAGAGAGAGAAACTACCGGAGTGAAAAAAAGCGGGTTGTCAACTTGTACACATGATCCTCTTACAAAAATAAAATCATTATTTATCTAGTTTATGTATACACATGCAAAGTCAGGAAAATATTCACTAAAGTAATGTCAGGAATTGCCTCCTGACTGCAGGATGGCACTCATTCCATGTATCCTTGTTGGATGAGTTTTCCATATAATGAGTCTACAATGTTTTATAAACAAAGAAAGGCACAGGGAGAAAGTAAACCACATTCTCCCAGGCTGCCTTCTCCCTCTGGGGAAAGGAAGTCAGGTTTCCTCCTTCCCGCAAGCTCTCTGCCCACCCTGCTCCCTTACCCAGCAGGTCCTCTTCCTCCTCCTCCCCGGAGCCGGAGCGGGAGGCGGGCAGATGCTGCTGCAGGTGCTGGGTGATGTGCTCGCAGAACTCCTCCACGGCCCAGCACACAAACGAGCAGGCCCCCCACTCACACTGCAGCTCCAGGTTCTCCTTTCGGGCCACTTTCCCAGGGGTCGACATGGCCTTCAACCTAGAGGAGGATGAAGCCCACGGCTGCAGGATGCCACCCTAGTGCCATGGAAGGGAACAGCTGGGCAGGCAGCCTGCCTAGAACCAGCGGGCATTTTTCCAGCGATGAGAGAAACCCTGTGCTTTTTCAGTAAGGATAGAGTAACAGTTCCTCAAACCCCTGGCAGCTGCCTGGTATTCTTGGGAAGGGAGAACACCAGCTAACATCACTGAGCATGTGCCAGGCGCTGAGCTAAGAACCTTAACAGACATTTTCTCATGAAGCTTCAGAGCAACTCGCCAAGAAGGAATGATTCCTATGGAAGGCAAAACAATGCTCAGGTTCAAAGAGAGGGCTTCGGAGAAGGACAGGCTTCAAATCCAAATGCCTGTCAACCACCTACTAGCTGTGTGACCTTGGCCAAGAAACTTAACTCTCCTACCCCTGAATATCCCCATCTTCAAAAAGGGGAAAACAAACCTTTTGGTTTTAACTTCACACTTAACGATATACCAAGTATACTAAAGTATATGCCAATGTACTAAAGACTTTACATTGTGTCACCGAATTACTACCACCACCCTACGAGGTAAGTACTATTTTTAACTTAATTTATAGATAAAGACCTGAGGCTCAGAGGTTAATTGGCTGGCTCAAGGCCGCACACTAGTAGTGTGGTAGGGTCAGGTCAGGCTGACTCCAAAGTCCATATGCTTTCTAATCCACACAGCCTGCAAATGTGGCCAGAAGTTCCTTATTTCTTACTGAGGCCTGCCATTAAGTTCCCCACCAGACTTTTAAAGTGCCATACAATCTGCCTTTGTATAAAAATGTCTGTTAAGCTTCTTAACACTGGAAGAGGCCGTATCTGTCTAGTTGATACCTTAACCTCAGATGTATGCAGGGCTCAGCATGCTTAGACAGTAACAACAGCTGTTGAAGAAAGCAGATTCAAAGACTAAAGGTACTCAGTAAGAATGCGGCAACCTCCAGGCGCTCCCCTGAAGGTTCAGATTCCAGAAGGCTGCAGTTAAGCCTAGTAATCTGCCCTTTCTACCTTAGCACCCCAGTTCTGATGCAGGCAGTTCCAGCAGAGCTTGAGGAACAATAAAAGAACAGTTTCCCTCATTAAAACAAAACACAGGATGGTAGAGAACTCTGCAAGAAAAAGTTCAGAGGGACAGAAGACACTACGAGGCCTGGACTCTGGCCCCCAAGGGTCACCTCCTTCTTGAGGATTCTGATTCTTGCTGCACTAGGGTGGTGGACCCTGGAAGGAAGTGGGACATTGCTCCCTCTGGCCTGTGTGAGACAGGTGGGAATTCTGAAAAAGGCCTTTCCTACCTATTGAGAGGAGAAAACCAGGCAAATACAAAAAAAATAAAACCTTCATGCCTCCAAGCACAAGAGCCTACTATACCTAACTGCTTACCAGAGAAACCCTTTTCAGTCCACAGCCTTTGCCCCTCCTCAGAAAAGCCAGTCACCTTTGACACTCTGGGTGTACCTAGGGTTGCTGGGCTGCTCCTGGACTAACAGTGAAGTACTATTAGGAGAAAACGGTGACTATTTTTGTAATGTTGGGGTAGGGAAAGGTTTCCTAATTCAGACCTACCATCCCAAACTTCCTCTGACTCTACTACCTACAGAATCAAGTCCATTTAGTATGGCAGGCAAGGCTCTGCTCCAATGGGCCTCAACTTTCTTCTCCCGAAGTGGGGTAAGGGAACTAACATGTACGGAGGGTCTATCACCTGTCAGCCCCGTCATGAGTCCTCTTCCAAACTTCATTTCATTTGGTATAGGAGCCCTGATTCTAACCCAACAAGTATGCTCTTCCCCGCACACTGTGCTGTTTCTCTGGCTTCTCTCTTGTCCATTCATTCCCTCTTCCTCTCTGATCCAATCATCTTCATCCCTAAACATACCACCTACTCCTTAAAGCCTGTACCTAGCAACTTCTTCTCACCCTTCAAGCCCAAATGTCCCCTCTTTGGTGAGCCCTTCCCCAGTTTATCCAGGTACAGCTGGAATATCCAACCACCTGTCCCCCTCACACCCTGTACACACTTCATTACAACGGAATGGAATGTCTGTCTCCCCTAGACCAGAAAGGGGGTTAGAAAGGGGGTTAGAAAGGGTTGGGACCATCACCTCATTACTTCCCATTTCTGGCATTAGCACAGAGCTTTGTACTCTCTGGGTACTCAGTAAATGTCAGGATACAATCACATTCCAGGAATCCTTCCTAAACTATCCCACCCCTCAGGTTACTTTACCTTTGCCTCTTGGTTTTACGGCAGGCACAGCTACCACCTGAAAATCTCAACCCTATTTGTATGCTGCCCATGGTCACTCACAGTCATTGTGTGTTCTATTCTCATATATCCAACTGGGCAATATTAGCTGCTGATGAGCAGAAACTATATGACATCTGTCTGTGTCCCAGGACTCTGCTCAAATATTCTAAACACAGGCTTGTTGCTATACTGGTTAAGGCCCAAAAGGCAAGCTGTCCAGATGTCTGAAATGATTTGGAACTTAGGCAAAGATCTCTGAATCTCTCTTTCACTGTCCCCCATCCTTCTTACTTTCTTTCCCTGGGCCCTGCTTGTTTCTACACCAGGGAGCTGTGACACAGACTATCCAGTCACTGCTCCCCTTTCTGTGGGCAAGGAAAGCAAGTGAGGCAGCTTACATACTGGAGGCTGCACTGGACCAGTTGTCAGAAGACCTGGGTTTAAGTTTCTTGTCTCGATTAGTTTGCTCTGCCTAGAATATAACAAAACCCGTTAAGCCTCTACCATATTTCAAGCGCTGTTCTAAGTATTTTATATGTATAAAAACTCATTAACAACAATCCTATTGAGGCTAAGTACCATTATCATCGCACTTCACAGATAAGATGGGCCCAGATAGGTTAAGTCATTTACCCCAAGGTCACAAAGCTAGGCTGTGATGGAGAAGTAATTCAAAGCCAGGGAGATTGGCTCCATTTTCCTCCTACATCTGCCTGTCTTACCTCTCCTTGTCTGATTCCCTACCCCCATAGAGATTGTCTCTGTATGCATAATACCCAAAACAGCTTCCTCTGATAAGCTGTGAGCTCCTAGAAAGCCTCGCCTGTGTCCTGTTCAGTTCAGTGTTGCAGGACCAACACACACCTACTACAAGCCCTTTTAAGGTAGATTTAAAGTTTATTATTTTATTTTTGGAAAAATCACCTAGCTTCTCTGAACCTGTTTTCTTAAATGTAAAATGGGTTATCTAATGTCATAGCAACAAGTGATGGAGTCAACGGATTGGTTGGAAAGCTCCAACATTTACTAGCTATGACCTTAGGAAACTTACTTAAGCCTCAGTTTCCCATGTAGCATTAGAATAATTATGCCTGTCTCACTGAACGGATTTATGGACTAAACTAGATAATGGATATTAAAATTCTTAGCATAACACCGCAAGAACTCAGCAAGTGTTAGCTATTTGTTTCCTTGTTTCTGAAGCATGAATTCTACAAAAACGTCAACAAAAGGACAACCCGAGGGATTCCTAACACTATTTTAAAACCAGGAGTCAGAGGAAGACACAATTAGCAAACACATAAGAGCAAAAATAGTACCACAAGGGACCGAGTGCACCCTGAGTGGGGTTCAAGAGGGACTCAGGTCCGGAACCTTCTAAGGGCTCACAATTTGGTCGAAGTGCTAAGACTCTGATGTGTGACTACAACGACCAAAACAAAGCGCCCGGAGAGGGAAATGAGGACAGAAGTCCCAGTAGGCAGGCGAAGCAGGAACGGCCTGTCCCTAGAGGTGGGGACTGGGCCCCTAGGAGAAAAGGTAGCAGACCGTCTAGGGGGGGAAAACCCTGTCGCTGCCCCGCAGGCCTTCCGGAGTTCTTACCCCTAAGGCGTGGCGGTGACCGTCTCTCTGCCGCAGCGAAGGCCCAGACGAGCGGGCCCAGGGAGGGTCGAGTCGGGGTTGGGGGCCGGGGGCACTGCGGGCGCCAGGCAGACCAGAGTGGCTGAGCTGCAAGAAAAACCGTCGCCAAAATGACTGGCGCGAAGCCCGGTCTCGGCGGCCTGCCCAGAGCGCCCCCCGTCGCGACGCAGCCAAGCCGGTACCCCAGCTTACCGACCCTCGCTCCCGGGTCCCGGCTGCCCTCTCCCCACCTCGGACCATCTCCGGGAGGGCGCCTGAGCGACGGCTAGCGACAGCCAATCGCCGCTCTCGGATGCCCCTAACAGCCAATGGCCTCTGTGACTGACGGAACCCGTGCGCGACCAAAACACGGAAGGGGCGGGAATAGGGGGCGGCGGGCTGCGGGGAAAGGTAGTACTGCTGGCGCCGCGGGGCTCCCGGCGAGGCGCAGGCGGGAATCCCAAGGGCCCGAGTTTTTCCAACTGCGCAGGCTCGGTGCTCGTTTTCCCCCCCCACCCACTCGCAACACACACACCCGGGCACCCGCAGGACCGGCGCTGGTCGCCCTAACCCTCTTGCAATTTACTGCGTCAGCTGTCCGCGTGGGTGGCGATGGGATGAGGAGGCGTGCGAGTCTGGTTGCCCACAGCTGCCCGCCCGGCTCGGCCCAGACCGGGGTATACCACCTCTATCCTTCACCCTCTTCATTTTATTTCTTAAATACCGATATTCCCCGCCGTCCTCCCCCACGCCTGTGCTTCCTCTGTGACCAGGCTCAGTGAACCAGGTCATCATCCATCCACTACGTCAAATCAAAAACGGGCAGCCATCCCTGATTGCCAAGCCCTGTGAATTCTACCTCCGTTTAAACACAGGCTCTCCCCAATTCATCCCGCGTTCTTAATCGTCAACGCCCCTTTCTAGTCTAACGACGACGTCCAGCCCAGACGTCTACGTGAACCTGATTCCATTGTGTGCTCTTGCTTCCCTCGAAACCATTCTCCACGCAGCACTCAACGTGATTTTTTTACTAAGAGAAGATCCGATCACCCTGCTTTAAACACTCAAACGGGATTCTGTTGCTCTCAGGACAAAAGCCCAAAACCATGCTGAGGCTTTCTAGACCCTTCAGCATCTGGGCCCTGCGTACTTCAACCGTGTCTTGAGTCCTTCTCAACTTCACTTTCGGCTAGTCCAGCCCCGAATCTCTTTGTTTCTCCACCATACCTAGCCTCCTTCTCCCTGTCCTGCCTTCTACTTGCCGTTTCCTCTGCCTGGAACAATCTTCCCCCTCTCCCCTCCCACATATATATTTGACTGATTCCTACTCATTCTTCTGGTCTCAGTGAAGATATGTCTTTTTCCAAGAAGTTGACATCCCTTCCCTGTATTTCCCCATGACAGCTCTATCATGTTGTACCGCATTTGCCTGTTTACTTGTCTGAATTCCCACCAGACTTGGTTGAGTGAAGAAGGGCAGGGATTGTAAGTGATCTTCACCTTTATAAACCCAGCCAGCCTAGTGGCTGAAACTCAGTAAGGATTCCAGGCAAATTTGTTAAATGAATTATGTGCCTTACATTCATTGGAATTGGTATATATCTTACTGTTATATTTTTCTGTATTTTCTAACCTAAACACAAGCCCATATAACTTACAGAGTCAGGAAACACATTAAATGTTTGATATAAATAAAATGAAATTAAAGACACCGTTAAGAATAGTAAAATCAAGTTCGTGTATGAAGTTTGTTACTAACAACAGTGAATTACAGCTTTGTCCCTATTTTAAAATAGGAGTTTCAAAACGTAATTCAAAAGTAACAAAAATATGTTCTCACTTTTATTCATTCAAAAGTACAGTTATATTAATACTTCGCAAAATGCCAACCTTATTCTAATTCATATTTACACCACTGGAGATAGCTTTTAGCTTTAATTTAGCAATTTTATGGAAAAAAAAAAGTCATTCACAGAACAGTGTAGAATCAAATGATATTTTACAGAGCAAAAATTTCAGAATAGCTCTGGGATCCACACATATGTTTCCAGAATTTGAGACAGTGTCTGTCTAGCATAGTGCACTTCCATCTCAATCTGCTTCTCTTGAAAACAGACCACAATTTTGGCTGGATAATTCAGATGTATCCTGAGATTTGTTCTTTAAAAGCTGCCACGAAGACTTAAAGTATAATTCATACTTATCAAGAGCTGTGAATATCTTCTGAAAGTATAAAGTGGATAAAATTGATTATATTTTGTCGTTCATTTAAAATTCCCAATTTTTGACATGTGATCAGGCTCTTTACTACAAAATATGCAATTCCATTGCTCTCTGGGCAGCTCAGCAAAGGAAGCTGTGTACAACTTCCAGTTACCATTCACTCAATCCACAGGTCCAGTGGGAATCTGGATACCTGCCCTCTCAACAAAAGTTTCCTGTGAAATTTCAAGTTCGGTGTGTTTGGCTATCTGGTTATATAAACTGCTCCTCTGTGAACCACTGAGTTGCATTTCTTAGATCAGGTGAAATAGCCTGATAAATCTCTGAGTTTTCATGACCTAGAGTTGAGCATACTGCTATATACAAATAACCAAAAACCCATACCCTGCCACTTTCTGAATATCCCATACTCTGTGACTGGCATGAAGAGAAGCATGGGGGAATATCAACAATTCATGCCACCCACACAAAGGCATGTACCCTGATTCCCCTGTGACGTAGGTGAGTCACAGTGGCAAGGCTGGAAGTGACCTGAATGATTATCTAGGCCACCCTTGTAGAGATGAGGAAGGTGAGGTCCAGAAAGGAGAAGTGGTCACTTGGTGTGTCTGTGACGCACTCAGGTTTTGTGTTCCTGGTCCAGTGCTGTCTGACATCCTGCAGCAGCCTGCCTGGTACACGTCCTGTGTAAGGTCCGAGAGCACAGGAACGAGGGACAGAGAGTTTGCTAGTATCCATACTCCCTGAAACTTGCTCACATTTAGGAATGAAAGACTTTTTATTATGATGAAACCCTTGTAAGACTTCCCCTTCCCAATGTGGCTCTTCTGAGGCAACTGTTCACATTATTCAGCACTGACTATATGCCAGCAGAGTTCTAAGAGCTTTCCTCATTTACTTCTCGCCCATAGCCGAATTATAGCGATTATAATCCACAGTCCCTATTTTACAGATGAGAAAACTGAGGCACTCTGAGGTTATATAACTTGCCCAAGGTCACACAGGTAGTTGGGTTGAGACTGAAATCCAGGCAGTCTAGATCCAGAGGCCATGCTCTGGCCTCCATTCTATCCTGGAAGGAGCAGCCCATTCAAGAAAGGGAAATGAAGATGCTGTACTAGCCCACTGACTTCTTTTCCTGATTGACTTCTTCTGCTACAACTTCCCCCTCTAAAGACTCTTGCTCTCCCATACTCTCCCTTCATGTCCCTTCCCCTCTGCAGGAACTTAGCAGATCCAGTATGTGTATCACCTACACCACATCACTATCTGGGCCCCCGTCTCTGAACCGCCCACTGTCAATGCCACAGCCTTGCTGATCACTCACCTTTCCAAGGATAGCCAGTTGTCCAGTTTATAAACTCCAATTTGACTTTAATTTAATAAATTAAATTCCAAGCCATCACACAGCAATGGACATCATCATCTCCTAACATACAGAGGTGCGGCCCTGCTTTTGCTCCATCATCAATCATCACACAGTCTTTAAATAAAGCCCCTAAAGCCATCTCTGTGGAAGGCTTCCCACCAAGCTCCTGGCTCCCTCCTTCCAAAAGAGCCACTGCTCACAGAGAAGGCATCAAGTACAAAAATGGTAATAAAGAGGGAGGGCAGGATAAGGAGCATGAGGGGAGGCAAGGAGGTGGGGAGTACCTGCCCCCCATCCCGGGCACCGGCCCGGCTTCCTGTGAGCTGCCAGTGTCCTCAGAGGCAGACATCGGTGCTGGTCGCAGTGGGGACCTGAGGGAGGCATGGGAACTCCGTTCCAAAGGGAACTGCCTACCCTCCTGCGACAGGAAAGAAGGGTCACCTGGGAGACACCCTCTCTCACCTGTTCACTGAGGGTCCTAGATCACACGTATAAATAGAAAAGAGAATAAATAAGGGAGGAAGGATCAGCTGAGGAGCTGAGCACCCTGGGACTCCCCTGCAGGGCCAGTGTCAATAGCAGGCAACCGGTTCTGAGGAATGCCCACACATGCCCCTCTTCCTCCCAGCCACCCACTCCCTCTTCTATGTCCTCAGCACAGGTGCCCGCCTCTCGTGTGCTTCCCGTTGCAAGTTCCCTTCCAACGGGCCCCACAGCCCAGGGCAGACAGGACTTGCCTGGCCCAGGCTATTGGGAACCCAGGAGGGGAATGGAAGGGGATGTGTGCAATGGGCAGAGAGGACTCCCGCCCATTCCTAGTTCTGGAGGCGAGGAGGGCCCTCAGAGCTGGGGGCTAGGGTTGCCATTGGCCTTGGGTTTGGATTTGAAGGAAAAGCGCTTGATGAGGCGGCGAGAAAAGCTGCCGGCCTTCTTCCGGACACTGGGCGCGGCTGTCGTGTTGGAGAGGTCGTCATGTGACTGGCTCAGGCCGGCTTCCTTCTGCCGGGGCTTCCGCCGGAAGATGAGCTTCGTGCCACTGCGCAGGAAACTCACTGTGGGAGAAGAGGGGAGGCTGAGGCAGAGAAGAGGGGAGCAGCAGGGATGGGGCAGGGTGGGGGGCAGAGAGAGGACCAGGGATGGAGGATCGAAGACGTGGAACAGAACAGTCCCTGGGCCTGGAATCCAGGCATCCTTAGGAAAGAAAGTGGAGACAAAACATGCCCTTCATCCTTCCTAAGGAAAACTGGTGGTGCTCATGGGATTCTGGGCGCACTCTCGACCAGTGCCCCTGAGGGGGAATATCAGGGGGCCAGCTGTTCTGTAAGGTCAGACTGATGATTGGGCCACTTCACTGTGGAAAGACAAGGGCTAAGCAGAAGGTGTTCCTAAAGCCTATAAAGCCTTGGAGGGACAAAGTGGGTTGACAGCAGCTCATCGGCCAAATTCCAGGATGGGAGCAGGAAGCAGTTTGGAATACTCCAAAGAGGTAAATTCAGGAGCAGTCTACTAAGAAAGGTGCTTATACAACAGGCTTTGGACTCGGGTATCTCATTATCCCAAGAGGTGATACAGGCTTAAATCATAATTAGATAAGTACATTTGTGGTTGACAGACTCATTGGCAGAGTGATGAAAATGAGGGCAAGCCTCCCATTCTTAGACATGTCGAGTGCCACAGCCATCCACGGACTATGCTCGAGGGACACTCCTAGGTGGGCCCAGGGGAGGATTCCTCATACCCAGGGGAGAGGGTACAGGATGAAAGGGAAGGAAAAAAAGAAGAAAAAGAGAAGTAAGATCTTTAGACCCAGGAAGAAAGAAAAATGGAGGTAAAGGTAAATAGCTCGGCATCCCTTCCTATCACCCATGCCTGTCAGATCCAAGCCAGGACCTGAGGCATCAGGTTCTCCCTCCTGACTCTAGGATGCCTGAAACAGGCTAGGAATGGTGACGATCCCTTGTGGGGGGAGAAAGGTAAATTGGCTTGTGGCTCCCATGACCCTGAGTGTCCAGCAGGACCCAGGTCAGGATACTGGATATAGGGGGAGGAGGCTACTAATGTCTCCCCACCTTTGTGGTCCTTGAGGCTGCGGGTCTCCAGGGCACCAGTAGACCCTGTTTCCGACTCGACATCATCCACAGATGGCCTCTCGGAAATGTCCGAACGTGTCGTCTCATCTGCTTCCTGAACACTCGTAGGGCTGGAGAGGGCATCTAGAGGTCCTGGGGACGTGGCTGGTGGGTCTGAGGGAGGGGAAGAGGGACCTCCGCTGGTCCCTGCCTCATCCTGCAGTGAGGTTTCCAGGGATGCTGCATAGCCCAGGGACAGTGCCAATTCGTCCTGAGCAACAGGCACCTGGCAGGAGTGACACGTTTTAATGGGCAGGAGTGACCCATTAGGGTTTTCTCCTACCCCAGCTCATCCGCCCAGAGTGCTGTTACCTTGGAAACACCAGAGATGATGAGAGTGCTACGCTTGGTGGGCGTCTTCCTGGCGGCCCGCCCGCTCGGCTCAGTCAGCTGGCGGATCGCTGTCTCCGCTACAGGGTCCAAGCCGTTGGAAAGGTGGCTCTCCCCTGCTGGGAGTACAGAGGATGGGTAACTCCTTCCCGACTCCTTCTTGGACTTCGTCTCCTGGGCCCCACCCAAAGCGGTTTTTGCTTCTGGTGCCCTGATGCCAACCAGCACTCACACTTCCCAATTCCCCACTCACGGCTGCTGCTGTGGGAGGCACTGCTAGGGCCGCTGCTCTCACTCAGCACGGTTGTTGTCTTCTCAGTCACCTCCACCTTGGACGGGGAGCGGGAGGGGGAGTCTGCTGGGTGGGGGAGGGTCAGTGAGCTGGGGGTGCTTCAGTGTGGCCCCCCCACCCCTACCGTCTTTGTTGAGATGCAGATTTCAGTTGACTCAGAGACCAGGGGTGACTAAGGCATGATTAGTCATGGGGGTGATTAAGATGTCATGGGAACAAAAAGACACAATTGGAACCAATGGGAGTGTGGGAAAGTGCCATAGGGTCCGCTGAGGCTGTGGGAAGATGCCATGAAAATATTGAGTGTGCACAGAGGCACAGAGGTCCACAAGAGGTACGGGGAATTCCATGGGATCCCTGGTGATGGGAGCGATATCCTGGGGGGGGGGCCCTAGGAGTGGGAGAAGTACCACGGAGGCCACTGGGTTTGGTGGAGGGGCCCCAAGGGTGCTGGCGGCTTGAGGGAAGAGGGAGGGACAATTAGGCACTCGGGGCTGGGGAAAAGGAAGGGAAGAGACCTGTGTAGAGACAGAAGGGGACATGCGGAAGTGGCAGGGCAAGGGTCCTGAATGAGGGGCCGGTAGATCCAGGGGGAAGAGGGAGGGACAGTTGAGGAAATGGAGGGATATAAGGGAAAGTTTGAGAGAGACAAAGAGAATGAGGAAGATGTGGCTAGAAAATGGGGAGTTGGAATTAGGGCTTTCCTTGGCTTTTCCCTGTCCTGCCAAGAATCTGCAGTCAGGAGCCCTGGGTAGAGCTGGCCTCCCAGGCTCCTCCTCTTTACCTAATTTGCCATCTACACGGGGCCGGGACTGGACGGTGGTGACCGTGGTGACAATGGTGCCATCGGGCATGATGGTCCGGTCCAGCTCAATCTTCTTGGTAGGTGTGATGCTGGGGCGTGGAGTGGAGGGGGTGGGAGTGCCCAGGCTCCGGGGGGAGCCCTCCTCATACTGAAGCTGCCAAGGGGTGGAAGAGCAAAAGGGTAGGGCCTCAAAGGCTGCCCTTCCCCTCGTCCTCCCGTCTTCCCCCAGGGGTCGGCTTCTCACCTCCACTGCTATGGTGGCCGCCAGTCCCAGGCCTTTCCCTGGCCCAGGGGTGAGTGGGCATACCTGTCTTCGGGACAGTGGTCTGGAAGGGGAGCCCACAGACAGGGTGGCCTGGCCCAAGACTTCAGCTGGGGAAAGGGCGGCATGGTGAGCTAGGCCCATGACCAGGCCCGGCTTGGCACCCACCCGGAGGTGCTTCCTGCCCCAGACTCACTGTCTCCACAGCTGCCGCTCCTCAGCACTTTGAGGGTCAGCTCCCGGCTCTGGGGGCCCAGATCCCTGTAGCCAAGAGGAGGGGCGGCAGGAAGGAAGAAGATTAGCAAACTGAGTCCCCCCAAGTTGATCATGGGCCAAAAGCAGAGAGAGATGTGCATAAGTAAGATGGAACAACTGCTCCAATCAGATTAATTCCTGCCTTCCAAACACTCCCTCTTCCCGAGAGAATGGGACAGGGCTTAAGTAGAGATGATGCTCCCCAGTGGAGCATTCAAGTCCCCCCGTGGTGCTCCCCACCCTGCTTTCCCCATGTCTCTCTCCATGTCAAATTGCCCTCTTTCTTTTGCTCAAGCTATTCCCTCTGCCAACACTTTCCTCTCACACTCTGTTGAAATCCTACTCTCACTCTAAGGTGTGATTTAAATGCCACCTCGTCTACGAAGCCTACTCCGATCCTTAGCCCCTATGAGAATTAATCTCTCCAGCTAGGTGCTCCCACGACACCTTACGTAAACCTTCTCTGGAGCACTTCTATCATCTTCTCTATGTACATCTGCCTCTGCCTGGAGAACTGGGAACAACTCAGGAGTAGGGGTGTCTCCTCGTCATGTTTGTATCCCCAGGACCTAGGCCAGGGCCTGGCACACAATAGGCGTTCACACCAAGGTTTACTGAAAACAGTCTGATTCATGCCAGGGTGATGCTGACAGTTTGTTCCTCAGTCTGCCCAAGAGAGTAGGGGTGGGGACAGGGGAGTCGCTCCTTACAATGCCAGGTCCTCGGTCCACTCCACCTGGGGACCAGCCTTCACGGGCTTGGTCCACTTCTGCTGCATGGGGTCGTCGAGCTCAGCTACACAACACAGTTCCCCAGGGCCTGTGATGAACCAGAAATTTTAAAAAGCTCAGATCAAAGACAGGAAGCCACTCAGGAATAGGGAGGCTGTGCCTGTGGCAGAGGGGCAGGCAGCACCTGCGACCAGGACTTCGGCAGTCTCCCAGCTGCCTCCAGCTCTCACCTTCCAGCTCACTTCCCAGGTGGGATGCCTGAAGCTGCCGCAGGAATAACCGGGTCAATCTGGGCATGGCTGGCTGGGCCTGAGCCACCATGGGTGGCTTCTCACTGGGTAACTATGAGAAGGAGGAGGTAAAAAGAACAAAAGTGTCCCAGGGACAGCATGCACGCCAACTGTTTGCTTCAGGCACCTACTCACCAGGCCTCCCGGGGCAGAGCAGGCCTTGAGGCTGACCATCATGGCGGGCTGGGTGCTGACTATGGCGTCCCTGATCAGTTCCTCAATAGTGGAGAGCTCCACTTGCTCCTCACCTCTCTGCATGGAGAAGAGAACAAAGAGGTGGCAGCCCCCAGAACTGCCAGCCTCCCCTGCTCTGCCTCTCCTCTCCCAGCCCTGCTCCCTTACCTCCCTGGCCTGCAGCTTGGGAAGCACCGTCAGGCTGAGATCGGGGCGGTCAGTGAAGGCCCAGGATACAAGCAGCCCCTCATCAGGGATCTCCTCCAAGCTGACTTCCAACTGGGGACAAGGGACAAAGGGATTGGGCTGACTGGTTCCAACTACTACTCCTACTTCTCTCAACTCCCCAGGACCCTCCGTTCCAAATTCCATCCCAGAGAAACCGACCGGGAAAGGCTGAGGCAACGGGACCACCCCTTGCCCAACTCAGCTTCCTACATCCCCATCCACCTGTGTTAGTGGCAGTGTCAGAGTGACGTGGTAGGTCTCCATGGAGACGGCAGCGGGGGACTGCTGGGTCACAGAGACTGGGAACATCACCTCCTCAGCCAAGAGCTGGCAATGCAGCACCTGAGGCCAGCGAGGGATGGAGGCAAGGAGGGTGAGGCGTGACTGAAGGAAGGGTGCTCATCCCTGCCTTGCCCTTAGCAGACCCCACCCCATTCAGTTTTCCTGGGACTTCACTTTCTCAGCATCACAAACCCATAGGAGAATCTAATAAAAGTCAAACACTTCTCTCCAGAAACAGATACACACACGTATACTACATTTTGCATGTAACTCTAGTGGGATTCTCAGACCTCCTGAAGCCAATCCTTAGATCCCTAAGGCATTCAAAGACTTCAGGTTCACAGACTTCAGAGAAGCCCCAGACTAAAGGGAACTCTTGGGATCAGATCCACTCAGGCCTTAAAGAAGGCAGTGCCCATCAGACCCTTACCATGGTGTGTTCTGATTGGTCTACACAGGTCACATGGCTAATGTTGGCTCTGGGCGGGAGTTGAGGCACCTCCTCAAAGGCGATTTGGATGGAACTCTGAGGGAGCAACATGGGCATAGGATCAGGTCTCTAGAGCTTCCTACTGCAGGGCTGCCCTACTCAGTTGCTGGCTGGGCCCTGGCATTGCAGAGGACTCAGCTGTAGGTTGGCTTCCGGCCCCTCCTTGGCTCAGGGCTTTCCGACAGGGAGTGTTCTCCTCCAGCCATGCCTCTCCAGGGACCTGCAGCTGCTCGGGACAACGGGGGCGCTAGACCACTTCCGAACCGAGATCACCTTGATTCCTCCTGGAATACCCTCTCCTCCCTCCACCTTCCTCTTCATTCCCCACTCTACCCCCAAAGAAAGGTGTGCATAGAAAGACAATAATGATGATGTTGTTTGCCACCTATATGTAATAGCTGGGCAGAGACACAGTGAGCTATGGCTGAAAGTGGTAGGGACACTATATTCACGGCAAGAGCTGGAGAAACGAGACTAAGCCTTCCAGACAAATAGGATGTGGAGGTACAAGAGTGCAACTCTATTCATATTTTTGGAAATAAAGACTAGCTCAGCATGGCCTTGGGGAACTTTACCAGAGGGACTGGGAAGAAAAGAAAAGCAAGCTCAGAGAACTCAGGAGTCCAGGGACCTGCGTAATTCTGCAAGGTAGACAGCAGGGTTGTGTTAGGGAGCAGAAAACTGCCCTGTTTAGGTCTTGAAAGAGCTTCCTAATTCTTCCACCACAGTGGATGCAACCTACTGCAGGCCCATCTGGAGAGCAGGATGGGAGGAAGAATTGAGAAGCAGGCACAGACAGCTAGTAGCTCTTCCGTGGGTCGTGGGATGGAGGAAGCAAATCCATGGGGCTCATTTGCCTGCCAAACCAGGAGAAGCCAACTTTTGTTGCTGTCTTACTCCAAACCCAGGACCAGAGATAAGGGGAGATGGATGCTTGGAACCCCAATCTCCCCACCCCCTGCAAGGGAGGCCAATGTCCAGCTGAGTCAGCCATCCTAGGGAGTCACTCCTGACCCAGGGACAAGGTACAGGAAGAGCTGGGTGGAGGGGTGAGTTCAAGGTGTAGACTAACAGATGCCAATCTAGCTTTCTGCTGGCCAGCTGGCAGGGGAGACAGAGCAACTTCTTGTGTGGCCACTTCTGCTTCCAGGCATCAGAGGAGCTAGCTGGTAGAGCAAAAGCCCTCAGACTAGTGGTAGCTGTAAATGGAGAACCCTCTGAACCAAGGGGCTGATGGACTGTGATGGCAAAGAGAGATTACTGAGTCAGGATGGGAGGGGACCCCATGAGAGGGCAGCCTCTACCTCCCACCCCACCTCAGTCTTATGACCATGCTTCCTGCCCCACTTCCTGGGAGACCAGATGCCCGTGGTGCAATGGAAGGAAGTAGGCTGGGCTGGTTTGTGACTGACCCTCAAGGGGCAGCAGCTTCATGCTCATCTACTGGGAAGGGCATGGATTGTCGGTCTGCTCTCCACCTGCACACCTTTCCCTTGAAACATACACTGCAAGCATCATGAAGGATGTATTAGACTGTAGCAGTGGAAATACTGAGGGGTTTAGGGGGCGTGTAATTCAGGCTCCTTGGGAATATGTCTGATGACACCAAGGATTTGAGGCATCAAATATTAAAGGGTGTGGCGGCATGAGGACCAAGCAAATTCCTTATGCAGGTGCACCTGTCTCCCTCCTACCCTCCCTCCCCCAACACAACCAACACAAGGTTAGGCGGAAGTGCCCTCAGGCACAGGGATTAGCGTTGCTATGAGAACAGCAACTTGTGCCTGGATTTGGAGCCAGAGAGTACCTTGATCACAAGAATAGAATATTGAGGACACAGCAGGATTTCTACAACCTTCAGCCTCACCTGCACTCTTTTCTCTGACCCCAGAGAGGAAGCAAGCCATGGGTTTCCCCAGGTGGTCCCCATGCCTGCCCATGCAGCCCTCCTGGCTTGAGCAGTCCCTCCTCTGGAAGGAAGGGCTTAGTGAGGGGACTACCTAGGTGTCCCTGTCCAACTCACCCCGTCCCTGCAGGCCTGCTCATTCAGCGCTCGCACCCAAGCCCGCTGCCAGTTCTCCCGGAAAGACTTGAAGGCGAAGAGCGACGCCAGGAGGCCCCGGACGCCTGGCTCCTCGGGGGCTCCGGCCCGAGACGGCCGAAACCGCAGCAGCGAGCGCCACACGCCCAGCTCCCGCAGGGGGCCCCCGGGCTCGGCAGCGAAGGCGGGTCCCGGGCGCCGGCTCCGGTGGGCCCGTACCAGCCACAAGCCCCGGGCATACTGCAACAGCCAGCCCAACACCGTGAGCACCGAGGCGGCGAACAGGATCAGCAGGGCCGCCCAGCCCACGTCCCGCTGCACCCAGCCCAGATCCATGCTCCGCGCGGGCTCCGGTCCCGGCTCGGCCTCAGCCGCTGCCCCGGGGGAGCATGGCCCGGGCGGGCCGCGGGGCGGAGGCGGGCTCCCCCGGGGCTGGGCGTGCGGGCTAGGGGTCTTTCCGGGACTGGGTGCCCGGGACTAGTGGATGCCACGGATCGATGAGAAGACTCCTGCACGTTCGCGACGCCGGGGTCCCTCTCCGTGGCCCGGGTCCCTCCTCGGTTGACCTGGCAGTCCGACTAGGGTGAGTCGCCAGCCAGAGCCAGACTCCTCCCACGGCTTGAGCTCCGCCAGACCTCGTCTGCAGAGGCGCGGGGGCTCGCGGACCGGCACCGGCTCCGGAAGGGCTGCGTGCGCAGAACTGACACTGACAACACGGCCGGCGCACCGCCCCCACCCGCCCTTAAAGGAGCCGCACCCGCGCGGGGCGGGGCTTGGGCTTTGGCGCCGGAGAGGGGCGGGAGGACCACGCGCGAGGGAAGGAGGTTCTGGGATTGATAACAGGCAGCACCTATGGCCACCACGCCCATGCTGGAGTCGGGGTAGTACCCCTTCCCCGAGGTCACGGCAAGAGTGGGCAAGGGTAACTTCGCCCACCGGAGATGCCGCTTCTGCCTTCCTCTTAGATATCTATCGTTTGGCTATCTGTGGGGTTCAGGGGGTGACCCTGTGGATATTATCGCCCCCTTCTCGAAACAGCCCTAGGCTCAACAGCTTCTTAGTTCCCATTTCCTGACCCAAGGTAGGCCCTGGGTGAGTAGGTGCAGAGAATCCCTCCTAGAGAGAAGTGCCTGGCCGAGATGAGCTGACACCCACCACAGAGAAAGAGGCACCCAACCTGGTAGAGGTTGAGAGTAGATTAGGAATATTAAATCTCTTCCACCCCCCTTCCCAAAGGAGCTAGGGCCCAGGAACACCCAACTAACTTCCTCGCTCGCTCGTGTGGGTTTGTTCTGGAGATACTTCCCAACCCTGGGGCTGCTTCTGTTTTTAAAAATAATATATTTCCATAGTAACAGCTCCTGCTTAGGGAGCACGTGTTGAGGGGGTGGTGATGAGGAAGGAGCTGGCAGCCTAGCACAGGACTATCCATAGATGCAGCCAGAAGACCCTACCATCCAAATAGGTGACATCCTGAGAAGCACCCCCAGAATGATATTGGTACTTCCCTTTTCCTAGATTTAAGGGAGTGGATTCCATCCCTATAGGACAGGGGCTTGTTATTGCTTTCCGGAGAAATTGCAGGGAAATCCTGCAAAAGGATTCAAAGGAATCCCCATTCCCCCAAGAGGCTTTTCTTTTCCACATGTATTTGGCAAAGTCTTCAGCACACAGTCCCTTCCTTAGGTAAACAGGGGAACATTCAAATCTCTCCCAGATCTGTCCAGTAGTCTGAGGAATGAATACATTGGAGTAAACAATACCTTCCCAAGTGTGGGGTTGCAGAGATTGGGAGAACCTGCCAGGTGAGCGACAAGGTGCCAGAGCCAGAGGGGGCGGGAGGGTAGCCTGCAGCATCCCTGGATTTTACTGCAAAGAATTATGGATGCAGGGGTGACGGGGTAATCTTGCTATAGCCCTGCCTGTGCATCATCACTGGACTCCAAAAACAATGGAAGATTCTTAAGAGTGTATGTTTCTAACCTTTACGGAAGGAGAAAACATGAAATGGAGGGAGGAGAGGTCAGGGTCAGCATGCAGGGATGCAGGAGGATGCAGTCAGTGGACAGAGCAGCTAGGGCTCGGGGAGCAGGTTACGTGGGAAGTTGTCCAGAAGAGCACTCTGCTCCCAAGAGTGCTTCCTCAGGAACCTCCCCCGGCCTCCCAGGGATCTCATTTCTCTGTGTTCCTGGATTTCCTTCTTCAGCTCCTTCACTGAGCACTCGGTCCTGTGCTGCAGATACTGCTGCACGGTTCAGTCTTACACGAGTCTCCCTAGTTAGTCTCCCCAGTCTTCCTTCTACTTGCTATTTACACCTCTAGCATTTATTTCATTCGGCCTTACAGTCTCACTGGTCGTTTCTACATCGATGTTCGTGCTCACCGGGAAGCTGTTTAAGAGTGGGGCCCCACTGTTCTCCACCATGGCGGATCAAGGTCAAAAGGAGAATCCCATGTAGGAATTTCACATCCACGGGGTCTGCCTCAACATCTGTGTTGGGGAGAGTGGAGACAGACTGACTCCGGACAGCCAAGGTGCTGGAGCAGCTCACAAGCCAGACCCCAGTGTTTTCAAAAGCTCAGTAGACCGTGAGGTCCTTCAGCATCAGGAGTGATGAAAAGATTGACATCCACTGCATAGTCCGAGAGGTCAAGGCAGAAGAAATAATGGAAAAAGGTCTAACGGTGTGGAAGTATGAGTTAAGAAAAAAATAACTTTTCAGATACTGGAAACTTTGGTTTGGGGATCCAGGAACACATTGATCTGGGGACCAAATAGGACCTGAACATTGGTATCTGCAGCCTGGACTTACATGTGGTGCTGGGTAGGCCAGTTTCAGCATCGCAGACAAGAAGCGCAGGACAGGCTGCACTGGAGCTAAACACAGAGTCAGCAAAGAGAAGGCCATGCCTATATGATAGGATCATCCTTCCTGGAAAATCAATACTCATTTCTATCCAAAAGGCCAATAAAAAGTTTTCAATCAAATGTTCAAAACAAAACAAAAACAGTGGGTATCTGTCCTACTCATCTCTCTTCCCTCCTTCAACAAAGGTGCTTTATAATATGCTGAAGTAGACTCCTTGGGGGAAACTGCATTTATGTCACTTTGTGTCCCCATAGTACTTAAATTTCCCATGACACAATAGGGATTTTACAAATTCTTTATAATTGTCTAACAAAAAATATTCCATTGTATATGTAACCACTAAGAATTTCTATATTGTTCCCATCTTTAGAAAATTCATTCATTTCAGCCCAATGGAATGGGTGATACTGGAGCTTGCTTTCACCTAACAACTTTTGACACACTTACAGGGGAAAGGCAGGAAAAAAAGAGTAACTCAACTGCCTGGAAAGAGCCCCAGATATGGTAATACAAGTATCATAGCCTCCGACTATACAAAGCTGTCTCATGGGTTTTCTAGGCACTGTGAAACCGTTCTGGAACAGGTTGGTTGGGCAGTCAGACTTACTCTCGTGCCTTGGTCTCGCTCTCTGTGAGGCACTCCTACTGGGAGATGCACATCTCAGACACTGTCTTCTCAGCCCAAGAAACCGGCAGAACCCAGTGACAACACACCTGGTCTATAAGTCACAGGACCAGTCTCAGTGTTCAGGCAAATGTTTTGAACTTTTACCAGAAAAGACAAAATTGCAAGTGTAGCCAAGTCATGTGTGTGTTTGTTTCTCCTGATAGTCTGACAATCAACTGGACATTTGTTATCATGGAAACAAAAACATTCAGATTATATGACAAGTTATCTAAGTAACCATGTTCTGATGGTAATGTACACTGGATGATGAATCCCTAGTGCTGCGTCTTTGAAGAAGTTCCCCCCCACTCCAGTGCAGGGAAGAGCTGATGATATCTGGATAAGAAAGAGACAGAAGTTCCCAATACGAGGCTGGGAAGGAAGATGTATTAGGATTGACCTCCAAATAAAAAAGGAAATAGATACAGACTGTCCCTCAGGTCTCCAGGGAGTCTCAGCCTGCTCCTGATCAACAAGATAATCCATGCAGGCTCCTCTGGGGCTCCCACAAGCTCCTCCTTGCCACCTGCTCCTGGAGTCTCACTTGCCCTTCCACTCTTACCACCTGCTGAAATCTTTGGAGATTATACTCTTCTGCAGTGTCCTCTCACTTCCCCTGGTTGCAACTAATTGCTCTCTGCAGGTGCTCCTAGTGTCCTACTTACCTCTTTCAGACCCAGATTCATCATGTGTGATGATACCTTGCAGACAGATTTCTGTGTGTCCTTAGCCCCATGAGAACACCCTGTGGAAAAAAAACACTTGCCTCTAGGGAGTTTCCAGTCTGAGAGGCACAAATGTGCGCGCGCGCACACACACACACACACACACGGAAAAATAATACCTGTGGGATAATAAATACTGAAAAATTAGTGGAACACTATCAAGTAAATTACTGGAATTACCTTATATATTTGTAAAGTATATTTTATACATATGTGTTTTTTTTTTATTAGAGCCGTCTCCAAATAGAAGGGGTATTTCACACATGGTTTTGAGAGACAGGAGGGAGACTATCTTTGGCCTAAAAAAGTCAACCAGACCCTGACTCCTAGAGCAAGTCATTTTTGAAAGACTGGACGAAGTGTCAAGACACTTGAGTCGTCTCTGAACTCCCTGGTCGTGATTCCCTCTCTGAGGAAAGTAAATTATTTGCCAGAGAACGTGTGGATGAACGAAAGAGAATGAAGATATTGGTGAAACTGTTCCTTGCAAGGAAACAGGTGCTAAGCCAAAGGCACCTGGAATAAGAAACCTGCCTGGGGGTTCTTCCGGCTCACAGGAAGCCATGTGTGGGCCTGATCTCCTGCTTCCTTAGCTCTTTCCAAGGCCTCAAGCCTCACGTCCTCGGTTTGGGAGCTTAGCACAAAGCAGTGACCCAGGACGGAGGAAGGTCATGTACCGGGTTAAATCCAAAACCTGGGGACACTCCCAGCCCCGTCAGTGGGGAAGTGCGCCTCTGGGTTGCCCGGCAACTAGCTACTACTGCAGGTGCAGAAGACGAAGGAAAGGGACCTGGATCAAAGACAAGAAAACCCTTAGAGTGAGAGGGGCTTTTCAAGTGTCTACGCTTCAGAGTTCACATCATCTTTTAAATCGTAACTGCGTTTCCGGGAACTGAGTAGTGTTTACCTTGACTTCCAACTACATTAGCAACACGTTTTCTTACAAGCTAGCGCTGCTCCATGTCCTTGTCCCTCCTTCCCTCCCCGCGCGCTCCCAGTGGCCATCTTCCCGGCTCCAGGGGCATCCGAGTAAACTCAGGCTACTGGCCCTTTAAACGTGACCGGGGGCGGCCTACCCCGCTGAAACTGACGTGGAACCCGGAGTGGGCGGCCTCAGACACGTGGTACGGGAGGCGTTCATCTTGGAACTGGGCAAGGAGTTTTTCCGCCTCGGTCTGTACGTTTTTAATACGATGTTAGGAAAATACCCGCTTTAGTTTGTCATTCTTTAATTGCTTTTCTAATACTCTCGTGATAACTCAACCCTCCAATATAGGATGTGGTTCAAAATAGCACGTCCCAGCTCGGATGCCCTTATTAAAAATGGTTGCCGCCGCCTTCTACAAGGACAATTGCTCCGCTAACCTGATCCGGGAGGAAACAGTGGGTAGGCAAATACAGTGGGGCAGAGCCGAGGTTACTTTGCAGAGGCTCCCGGGAGCCCCGGGGGCGGTTCCTGTCAGAGTTGTTGGGATTTGCTTGGACTGGTGTGGAAAGACCCAGCCTGTGGGGAGCGGCCACTCCTTGCTGCAGAGGGCTAAAGGTTTCTGCCCACCTTGCCTGTTAGCTAGGGAGGCGGCCGAGCAGGGCCCTGGCCGGGCACTATGTGGGCCTTCCCGGAATTCCCGATGCCGCTGCTGGTGAATTTGATCGGCTCGCTGCTGGGGTTTGTGGCCACAGTCACTCTCATCCCCGCCTTCCGTGGCCACTTCATCGCCGCGCGCCTCTGTGGCCAGGACCTCAACAAATCCGGCCGGCAGCAAATGTGAGTGGCAGCACATGGGTCCCGGGCAGGGCGGGGACGGTGCCTGGAAGGCTGGACTGGGCGCAGAGACGGAAGGGAGCGATCAGCCTGACTTTGCGAGGTGAAGGGCAGAAGCGGTTAGCATTGGGCACGAGGATGGGGGCCGGGGGGAGGGAAGGGACACTCGGATGCATTAGGGACGCCAGCCGTGGTGGTGCCCTTTGCCCGCGCCCCAGGGAGGTTTCTGTACTGCCTGCCCCAGGGAGTGACACGCCCCCTCTCCTCCTACTCCTTCACAGCCCAGAGTCTCAGGGAGTGATCAGCGGTGCTGTTTTCCTTATCATTCTCTTCTGCTTCATCCCGTTCCCTTTCCTGAACTGCTTTGTGGAGGAGCAGTGTAAGACCTTCCCCCACCATGAAGTAAGTGGCTGACTGGGGGCACTTGCCTGTGGCTGGGGGCCGGGAGTTCCCTGAGCGAGTTGGGGTTACTTGGGTTTGGGGGTAGAGGCTGAAGAACGAACAAAAAGGAGTTCTTGAAAGGAAAGGTGAGGTGGGAGCGGGCTGGAGCGGTAACCTGCCCGAGCCTCCCCCAGTTTGTGGCCCTGATAGGTGCACTCCTTGCCATCTGCTGCATGATTTTCCTGGGCTTTGCGGATGATGTACTGAACCTGCGCTGGCGCCACAAGCTGCTGCTGCCCACCGCTGCCTCACTACCTCTTCTCATGGTCTATTTTACCAATTTTGGCAATACCACCATTGTGGTGCCCAAGCCCTTCCGTCCCCTTCTTGGTCTACATCTGGACTTGGGTGAGTAGCCCTGTAGCGGTCCCTGTAGCGCCACTTCAGGGCACCCTTTCCCCGTGAGATAGCCAGCACAGCATCCTTCCCGGTGCTCCACATTTTCCTCCAAATGTCCCACTTTTGTCCTGTATCTTTCCCTTGGCCCTTCACCCTATCCTCTGTCCTCACCACTTTTCTTAAAGGAACAATATCTGTAAATCCTCATTCTCTTAGTGGCACTGCTTCTTTTCTTACTGCCTTCTCACTCCAGGCATCCTGTACTATGTCTACATGGGGCTGCTGGCAGTGTTCTGTACCAATGCCATCAATATCCTAGCAGGAATTAATGGCCTAGAGGCTGGCCAGTCGCTAGTTATTTCTGCTTCCATCATTGTCTTCAACCTGGTGGAGCTGGAAGGTAGGTGGGATTGGGGGTAGGGAGAAAAGAGAAGTCTGAGTGTTATGCAAATTGCTTGATACCTGGCTTTGGCAAATTCAGAAAAAAAGCAGTATTTGAGTAATTATAGACCATAAGGGAAGCTATGTACTGTGCAACTAACAACTAAGATTTTTTACATGTGAAAAAGAAAAAAAGCAGCCCTATCACTTATAATTGGATTGGCACTAAAAGTGATCTTCTCCTGTTGAACATAAACAATTGCACAGACCCTAAAATCAGACACAGTCCCTCTGTGACCATGATAGAGTGAAACAAAACCCATGCCCCTTCATAATCAAGTCTGAGCTTAGGCAAAACCACAGGGACACTGTGCACCCCACAGAAATGACCAAGGTACCCCTCTTCTGGTTAACATGAGTGATCTGCTTCCTTCTGGAACTCAGTTCCTCCTGCTTCTCAGATAAGAACTACTGAGATGCTCAATCTTAGAATTATTGCTGCCGAAGCACCCAATCCAGGCAAAACTCTGAACCTTTGCATCCTCAGAATCACTTCAAACAAATCCTATAACATGTCTTCCCAACATCCCTTTACTGAGGCATCCCATGGTTCCCCATAGTGTATGGTCTCCAAAATCTCCCTTGTTACAAGTCAACAAACTGAGCTCTGACTGGAGGTATGTTTCTGGTGGTCTTTGACTGATAGACCTCAATGAGTGCTTATCAAAGCTAAGCATTTTAAAAAACATTATCTCATTTAAATCATCAGCCGTATTTTTTACAGATAGGAAAACCGAGGGCTAGAGAAGTTAAATGTGTTATGTTAAGTTCACACAGGAAGTAAAGCTGGTATTCAAACCTAGGTCTGAATGGTCTAAACCAAATTTAAGTGAGTAACTAGTTTAGGAAAGGGTCATGAAAGAGGTGGAATATTGGGAATTGCCTTGGTGAGACATAGAAGAGGTAGTGGGTTCTTAAATGAGACTTGGGAGGGATGGACCCTATAGCTTGGTACAGAACTTAAGAGAAAGACAAAAATAGGACCAAAATACACAGGGCAAGTGGCCACCAACCTCTCCCTCTTTCTCTTTCCCCTGCCAAGGTGACTATCGGGATGATCATGTCTTTTCCCTCTACTTCATGACACCCTTTTTTTTCACCACCCTGGGACTGCTCTACCATAACTGGTAAGTAGGCCTGTGGGTAGGGGGACAACTGTTGGAACGTGTGACAAGTATGGTCCTGATCACGACCTCTCTCCTCCTGGAGAGGCCAAAGCTCTGCATCCCTATGATGATCGTTTTCCGGGTTGGTAATATTCTTAAATTGCTTTCTACCCAACTGTAGTGGGGCCAGGTGCTGTGGAACCTCTGGGAATAGATGAATTCAGGGCGTTGGGTCCTGGAGAATTGCTAAGAGAGCTGGAGTCTCCTCTGAGCCAGAACTAGGGTCAGGGTTAATCTAGTGCCCAGAGTGTGTGATGAGAGAGAAAGGATTGGTAATGCCTCTTGCTCCTGGCTCAGATCCTCTCCTCCACACAGGTACCCATCACGGGTGTTTGTGGGAGATACCTTCTGTTACTTTGCTGGCATGACCTTTGCCGTGGTGGGCATCTTGGGACACTTCAGCAAGACCATGCTACTCTTCTTCATGCCCCAGGTGTTCAACTTCCTCTACTCACTGCCTCAGCTCCTGCATATCATTCCCTGCCCTCGCCACCGTATGCCCAGGTAGCTGCTTTGGGGCTTGAAAGGGACATGGTAGCCTTTTCGCTTGGGATGCATAAAGCTAGCCTTGTATATCTGCTGTGCACAGAGAGTGGGCCCAAAGAAGGGCTAACTTTCCATGTGGTTAGCCCTTTGTAACTACAGAGCACATCTACTGACATAATCTCATTCAGTGCTCACAGCTGCTCTGATGATCACACCACAGTAAGCCAGAAACAGCTCAGTGACTCCACATTCAGTGCCCTTCCTATCAATTAATCACGGCAAGGAGAGTTCATTGAGTAGTGACCCTCACATAAAGCTCTCTTCCCCCCGCAGACTCAATACCAAGACAGGCAAACTGGAGATGAGCTATTCCAAGTTCAAGACCAAGAGCCTCTCTTTTTTGGGCACCTTTATTCTAAAGGTAACAGGGTAACGAGGTAAGGCTCTAGGCCACCATCCTGAATTCAGGGAATGGGGAACCTAGGCCTGCATCAGGTCCAGGGGGAGTTTGGAAGCATTAAGCAGATCCCTGTTCCCAAAGCATGGGTCTTAGCTGAAGTTCTCTCCACTTCTGGCCGTTTCAGGTAGCAGAGAGCCTTCAGCTAGTGACAGTGCGCCAGGGTGGGGATGAGGACAGCGCTGTCACTGAGTGTAACAACATGACCCTCATCAATTTGCTGCTGAAAGCCTTTGGGCCCATGCATGAGAGAAACCTGACACTGCTCCTGCTGCTGCTACAGGTGTGGCTGGGGAGGAGTTTACCCTGCTTGTCTCCTTTTTTCCGTGGTTCTGACTGCAGTCCATTTCTCCTTGCAGACCCTGGGCAGTGCTGTCGCCTTCTCCATTCGGTACCAGCTTGTCCGACTCTTCTATGATGTCTGAGTCCTTTGATCATTGCCCTTCACTTCACAGTCTCCAGGGTTCCTGACTCAGGCCGATCCCTTTCTGGACCAAGACTGCCTCCTGGCCCAGGCCTCTTCCACCCTTCATGTCCTCCAGATTTGGTCCTCGGCATTCCATTGCTCCCATGATACCGATATTTTGGGCCTTTCTTGCCCGTCTAATGACTATTGATTGGCCTTTGCCTATTGCTTTCTTCAAGTTGCTGCTTTCCCTCTCCAACCCTCTCTGCACCCTCCTGAGGTGGGATTCACAGCTTTTGTGCAGTTATCCACAACCCTACTCTCAAGGAATATGTTGGGCCCAGGGACAGAACTCTGGCTGGGGATAGACACACAGGCTCAAAGATGACTTGACATTTGATTATAAATTAGGGATTCTGATTATGGAATGGAGAAGACCAGGGAGCCAGGTGCTCCCAGTGGTGACAATAAAGTGTTGCCTTTTTCTTGTTGTTCTTGTAGGTGTATTTACTATAGGGGCATTTTAGGGTGGATTGGGTTGGTGGAGGCACCTCCCAGGAGGATGCCGATCTCTGCCCCATCCTTTTTCTTCCAGTACACTGGGCCCCGTCTAGCAAGAAGTGAACAGAAAGAATGGAGACGATAAATATTGAAATCCTGATACTTCAGGTGGCATGGAGGGCCGTAAGATTGGAGGTACCTGTTCTCTTGTATGGGATTGAACTTTTAGGGGGTCTCATTTTCTTCCCTTTTTCGTTCTTCCCTTGCCAAATTAAGAGAAGGGAGTAGGGAATGACCAGACTTGGGGGGCCGAGTTGTAATGTTAACCCCCTTTCTTTTAAAAATCCCAGGCCACACATATTTCCCAGAGGCTCTTGAGGTGGCTTCAAACTTCACCCGCTTTGGCTTCCGGTTCTGGTCTCCGTCTGTGGCGTTTAAATCTCGCGCGCTTCACATGGATTGGCTACATCAGGGAGTGTTTGGCTTCCTGCCCGCCGCCACCCTTCCTCGCCTTTTTCCCCGGGCAAAAGGTTTTCAAATTTGACCAATCGGCGAGCACGCTCCCTCAGTGGAGGCGCGTTACCGAAGGGTTAACCGCAACCAACCGGAGGCGGGTATTAGAGAAAAGAGCCAATCAGACGGGCGCGGGGGTGTGCCCTGGGGGGCTTATAAGGGCAGCACTCGGGCGCGCGCGGTAGCAGTTGGACTGCGGCGATCGGTCGTGCGTTGGTGGTAATTTCTGCTGATTGGTCTTCACACCCCTTCTACCTCGGGCAGTATGTCGGGCCGCGGCAAGACTGGCGGCAAGGCCCGCGCCAAGGCCAAATCGCGGTCGTCGCGCGCCGGCCTCCAGTTCCCAGTGGGCCGGGTGCACCGGCTGCTGCGAAAGGGTCACTACGCCGAGCGGGTCGGCGCCGGGGCGCCGGTGTACCTGGCGGCGGTACTCGAGTACCTCACGGCCGAGATCTTGGAGCTGGCGGGCAACGCGGCCCGCGACAACAAGAAGACGCGCATCATCCCCCGCCACCTGCAGCTGGCCATCCGCAACGACGAGGAGCTCAACAAGCTGCTGGGCGGCGTGACGATCGCCCAGGGAGGCGTCCTCCCCAATATCCAGGCCGTGCTGCTGCCCAAGAAGACCAGCGCCACCGTGGGGCCGAAGGCGCCCGCGGGCGGTAAGAAGGCCACCCAGAGCTCCCAGGAGTACTGAGCGGCGTCCCCGCCGCCCCCGGCCGCCCGCCCTTCCTATGCCACCACAAAGGCCCTTTTAAGGGCCACTGCAGCCTTCACGGAAAGAGCTGGGCCTGGACCACTCGGGCCCCGGGACGGGCGGCCTCGGCGCTCCCTCCCTCGGGCTGCCGCGGCCGCCCCTTCCCGCCGCAGGCCCCGCGGCCGCTTCCTTTCCGCGGAGGGCGGGGGCTGGGGGCGCGGCCGCCCTCGTGACTCAGCCGCCCTGCTCTCGGGACTGCTGACGGGCTGCGGAGACGCCGCGGCACCTCCCGGAAGAGTGGCGGGCCGCTCCGAGGCAGGGCCGGCCCCGAGCGTGAGTGGGCGCCGCCGGCCGCCGGCGTCTGCTGCCGCTTCCGCGGCGTGGTGCTTAGGCCGGTGCATTGCGGACGTACGCTGAGCGCCAGGCTTTGGCGGGAGAGGAACCCTCCACTTGGTTGGCCCTGGCGCCCCCTTTGCTGCCAAGCCCCGGGGCTTTCGCAGCGCGCGCGGCCGCCTGAGGGGCGCGGGCCCGAGGCCGATCGGCAGCCAGGCCCCCGGGCCTACCCCCTCGCCCCGTTTCCCTTCCAGCAGCTCACCTGGCACGCCCAGCACCGAGGTACCAGCACAAGCCCGTTGCCCGCTGTCCGGACTGAGCCTATGTTGGCCTCCGAACTGGAATTTTGCAGCTATCTTACCCAAGACTTGTTCCTTAGGTATTGGGGAGTTTCAGAGGGACTAATTTTGTTTATTAAAGGTTTTTTTTTTTAATGTGTCTGTTTTCATTTTGGAAGAGTTGCAGGATTCACGGCTTTGTAGACTCCCTGAGGGGAGGGGGAGGGGGAGTATCTGCTGTAAGAATCTGTAGTTAACTAGAGGGGCGAGTCAGGATTTTAAGATTAAGACTTGACATTACCTGGGAGACTATTGGGTTTAGCAGTAAATGCTTTTGTGCTTGTCCTTAGCTTTACTGCAACCACACAAATCTACTTAAGAGCCGGTTTATTGGTAGAATTGGTTTACATTCAAACAGCTGTGGCTTGGGCTTTTTCTCTAACGAGATGACACCCCCTTGCCCCACCTACTGCAGAAGCAAGGCAGTCACCAAGGCCCCAAAGGCCAGGCAAGTCCTGGAAGTCTGACCCTGCAGTTCAGTCCCCTGGAGCAACCACCTCTGAGTTAGCAGTGAGAACGGGGCCCTGGGGGCTGGGGCGCAGGCCTGGGACAATGGTAACCCTGGCACCTGTGCCCCACACACCAGCTAGTGGGCATCATTAAGTTGCCGTGCAACATCTAGGATGTTCTTGGCTCCTTTGTTCAGCAACAAATTGGCCAAGCTGATGCCCAGGTTCTCAGCAGCCAACTGGGCTTCTCGTGGAATTTTTCGGGCAGTGATGCCCACCAGCTGTGGGTTATCCTCAGGGCCATCTTCATGCTGGGCAAGGGAAGGGGGCAGAACTCAGTGAGCTGGAAGGGGAGGTAACACCCAGGTTTCTTTCTTGCCCTCTCCCTCACTCAGCACCTGGGCAGGGACCTGGATGGTGGTCTGCATGGTCTCCTGCATGCTATCTGAGCCATCGAGACTCCACACTCCTCCAGTCAGGTACAGCTGGGAAAGAAAAGCTGCCTAAGCATCTTCCGAGAGGGAAACGCGTAGGAACCCAAGCCCTCCTTGTTGGCAACTCAGGATGCACAGGGAGATACACCACAGTCCACCCGTCCCCCGCCCTCCCACCCATCTCTGGCTTACCTGCCCCTCCTTCAGAGTTGTGTGCACTGCTACTGGGACACTGCAGCCTCCTTCCTGCAAGAAGAAGCTCCCCCTGTGAACGCCAAGGACTCAACAACAAACTGTGGCCCTCAGTGATACCAGACCCCCTGAAAACAACTGAAAAGTAGGCAGGGGCCTTGAACTGGGTCCTGTCCATACATTCAAGGATGAGTTACCTCTATAAACAGCATGAGTTTGAGAAAACTGCCCACCACCCTTCCCAACTCCCCGAGGCTCCACCCCTCCACAGGTGCCTACCAGGTGCCTTAGGAAGGCCCGTTCAGCAATGCAGCAAAGCAGAGTCTCAGGATCATGCAACACACCCACCAGATCCAAGATGTCTTGGTCCTTGGCTCGGACTTCCACACCCAGGGCCCCCTAATGGAAAAACAGCCTATAATATCAGACCAGATCTTTCCCCAACAAATGGAGCTAAGGATGGGAACTAGCCCACTTCCATCTCCCAGGACCTTTTGGGCAGAAGCCCCCCGCAAGACCTGCCCCTCCTTGGAAATGTTCATGCTGGGAGAAGCAGATGCAGAAGGCATGTGACTAGCTTTTTGTTTGAGATCAGAAAAAAATGGGCACATCAATACATGGCTTCTCTGGTCAAACATACCTGACCCACAGCATACATGCATTCCTCTGGGCGCAGGATCTGTGGGGGCAGAACAGGCAGTCAGAAGGGTGGACCCGGGGCTTCCTTAACAAAGTCTGGGTAGGCAAAAGTGAGTCTGACCTCTGATCCCCAATCTTCCCAGCCTGGGACTCATTTCCAGCTCATCATTTTAGAGGCAGGGTGTTCCAAAAACAGAATACAGGCAGGAAAGGGATGATTAACTGGGGAGGGAGTAGAGGCAAGCCCTACCTGCCCCACCCGGTTATGCCAGCCCATGCGCTGCAGGCCAGCTGCGGCCAGGATGATGGCACTGAACTCCTGCAGCTCATCCAGCTTCCGAAGCCGCGTGTTGAGATTCCCTCGCTGTGGAGAGATGCTAAGGACCACAAGCGCTGTGCAGTCTGGAGCCCCATGCTGTTCTCTGCCGGAGTCCTTCTCTGGCTATCTGATCATCATTCAGTTTTCAGCTTAATGATAACAGCTAACACTTAGTTCATACTTATTACATGCCAGACATTGTTCTAAAGTGCTTACCATGTCAGTTCATTTAATTTTCACAATCTTATGAGGTAGGTATTATTATTGCCTTCATTTTACATATGAGGAAAATGATACAGAGGGGTTAAATAACTTGCCCAAGGTTACAAGACTTCTTAGAAGCCCTCCCTGACTCCTGAATCTGTCCAGCTAGAAGCTGTCAGAGAATTCCCTATTTTGAGCATTAGAGCACTTTGCACATGCTACTGTGCACATTTTATTTTATACTGTACTATGAAATAAAAATGGAGGCACTCTCCATCCCCCTGACACTGAAGTAATCATTGCTCAGTATCACTCTGTATTATCGATGCCTGTCTGTTTCCAGGAAAAAAAAAGTAAACTATGTAAGTAGGGACAATGTTGCTCTTGCTCACCATTATCCCTAGTGCCAGGCACTTGCTTGGGGCTAAGAAAACAAGAAAGGATTATGAATGGATGGATGGGTATGTAGACGGGAGGACAGACAGTCCACTGGCCCCACAGCCTGCTTCCTCTGGAAGCACCGTCCACTCTCATGACTCCCAGGGCCCTTGACCTCAGCTCCCTCCTTGGCTGCTACCCCTTCTCTAAAAGGATACAATACTCTTGAACTCCAGATGTGGGAACTTTCTCTGCAGCTGGGCTGCTCTCCGCAGGGAGCTGGTTCCCACCACGCTGCTCAGAGACGTTCAGAGTGAGGCCCCAGCCTAGGCTGTCCCTATTCCCTTCTCTTCCCACTCCTCCCAAACCCCCACCTTCTGGGAATCCTACCAAAACGCCTGGTCAGGCCCCACTCACCTCTTCTCTGGCAAAGTTTCTAGGGTCTTCCCCACAAACTTGGGGTGAAAGACAACAGCATCGTAGGGATTCTCCCGCCTAGGGGCGGAGGGAAGGGGAAGATCTCCGTTCAGGTCACTTCCCGGCTCTCTTGAAGGCCAACTAACTCGCATTTTCTGGGTTTCCTGCCTCGCTGGACGCTCCTCAGGGCAGGGGAGACAGCCCTGGAGGCGGAGAGTCCAGTCCCAGGGGAAAGCAGAGGCAAGCATGGCGCCTGCCCCCTGCCTCTCAGGACTCTTACTTGCAGATGGCTCCAATGGTGAAGCCCGGGGGAAGCACCGTGGGCAGGTCCTTCAGGGAGTGAACGACCAGGTCTACTCTAGAGACGTGGGAGACGGAGACAAGGAGAAGGGGTCTGAGCAGCAGGTCCCCCTCCTCTCCACCTACTCCCCTTCCTATTTCAGTGGTGAAACCAAGAGCAGTTCCTGAAGCAGGCCTTTCAGAGGCCCGGGGACTCAGAGACCCACTCACCTCCTATCCTGTCCCCCACCAACTCCCCAACAGCATCCTCCAAACCTCTGGACCTGCACCCTGGGTAGCCAGATGGTTCAGAACTAGATCACTTTCCTTCTCTGAGGCCTAAAAAACCCACATATGAGCCCCCCTCTAGCCTATCCAAGGGTCTAAGCCCAACAGTCTGGCTGATACCCAGGTCAGATCACACTGGGTCCCAGCAAGAGACTGGGAAGGGGCCACACTCTCCTGTCTTCCACTTACTCATTCTTTTCCAGAGCATGTTCCAGCTCCTTGGTAAACAGGCTCTTCTCTCCGATCTGCCAGGCAAGAAAAAGCCTCAGAGTGAACCTCCTGAGAGAGGGAAAGGAGCGGGAAAGGATTGGAGGAGAAATGCTGTTACCTTAGAGAGCGCAGTATCGAGAATCTTGTCTCCTGTGGTGGACATAGCAACTGAGGAGAGAGTCAGTCAGTCAGGCACTCATTGATCATAACTTCCTGAGCACTGTGCTAAGATTAATGGTGGGCACAGAGGCACAAAGCCTTAGTCTGTACCCTCTAGGCATGTACGATCTAACAGGAAGACCAGACACACTCATAAAAAGATCCAAAGCAGAGATGTTAACTACCAAGCTAGCCCATGCCGACAGAGCTGGAGGTCTTCAGAGGAAAGGGTCCTCCAAACCAGGGACGGCCAAGAATTCTCAGGAGCAATGGGCCCAGGCTTTGGTCCTGGGCAAAGCCAGAAATGCTGTGTTCTCCTCTCCAGTGAGCAAAAACTCCCCATTAGCTTTCAATCCTGCCCAGAAAACTCACTGATTTCAAACTGCAGGCCTGGGTATAAGGCTTTCAGGGCTGCCACCACACTGTCCGTCTGTATGTGAGCCAGCTGGGGGCAGAAATTTGGATTAGTCCTGTTGTTCCTTGGCCATTACCCGGAGATGAGACCTTTACAGGGTCAGGTTCATCCCAAAGGGGCTGGAATCCCTTCGAATTCAAGGCAAGGGGTCCAGCCTGGGAATCCTCTGCACCCCAACAACTTCCCCAGCCCAGGGATATCTGGCCACAGAAGGCAATCTGCCATTTGGCATGGGACCTAACACCCAGCCACCCCATCTCCTCCATCCCTGAGGTGCTGGGAACTGATCCTCTGGGTCCCGCAACTTATAATACCGTGAGCACAGAACTCTTCCCACAACCCACCACAGCCAGGACCTACACTCACCTGGCTTTTGCGGGTACCCACGCGAATCACTCTCATGTTTGGGCTGTTTTCTTCCTGCTGAAAAAGTCCCAGGTCACAGTCCCCTCTGTTCCCTGTGTTTCTCAACACCTTGTCCAAGAACCAGAATTACCAACTTGTAAGAAAGGAACCTCAGACCCTGACCTATGGCTCAGTGTGGGCATATATTCCAAGACTAGTTCCTTTACCTTCCTTAGTACCTTCTGCCCTCTTCACAGATCCAGAGACACAGAGCCCAGAGGGAAGTGACAGTAGGACCTGCTGTCACTGCAGCAATCTGGATACTGAGCCCTGAAGACCACCCTGCCAAAGCAGAGGGAGTGCTGCACAGTCAGGTGGGTGAAGAGATAAGGCCCATCAGCCCAGCCACAGGGAAGGTGTGGCCTGCTGCAGACGCAGGCACGGCAGCTGGGGCCATACAGGGGGACTTGTGCTGAGTCACTAAGGACGAGTTCAGCATTCACAAGACAGCAGGCATTGCAGAAAGCTTCAGGTGCAGAAAGCCACCCAGATGCCAAGAGCTACCCCAGAGCTGCCACACTGTGTATCCCCTAGTCTGGCTGGAATGTACACATTAAAGGCTGGGGTCAACAGATCTGATGTACAGCCCTGCTCAGCCTCTTGGCTGGGGGACCCTGAGAACAGCATCCCGCCAGTACCTATTTATTCATCTAAACAATGAAAACATTTGGACGCAAGTATCATCTGCCTCTGATGATCTGGAGACTAAAAGGCTTAGCGGCATAATGTCCATTCACCAACATTACTGCACCAGGTTTCACCAAGTCAAAGGGACATGCCTCTTCCTCCTGCCAGGGTACCTTGAACAAAGGTATTCAGTGCCAAGCAGGTAGAATTGGGTTCTTCAGTCTGAGGTCCTATTTCTTTGCAGATTAGACAGCAGCCACTGTAGATACTGTTCATTTTCCCTCTTCTGGGATCTTCATCCCACAGAGTTCTTTTGCAGGCAGCAATCTGGGCCCTCAGGTGCTGGAGGAAGTGACAGCTGACTGCTCTTAGACTCTAGTTTGCTCCACTGCTATCACTTCAGTAAACAGACCCTGGGGACCCTGAGAAAATTAGGCTAGGCCTGAAATGCTAGACATGGCCACTGAAATTCTATGACAGGGAGCCCAAAAAGAGGATTCTAATGTCCCCGAAACTGCTAGTTTCAAAAAATCTCTTAATTGCATTGATTCAGCACATTTTCAAATCAAATTGTTTCATTAAAAATTTGTTAAGCATGTGTATGCTAGAGCTAATTCTTTTAATCTTCGTAACAACCTATCAGGTAGAAAGGACAGGCACCTTTAGGACCATGTTACAGAAGAAAAGTCTGGCTCTGAGGAGTGAAGTGACTTGCCCAGAGGCACACGGCTAGTAATGGTCACAAGCTGGAACTAGAATGCAGATCTTCCTACTCCTAGTCCAGTGCTTGGGAACGCCTGCAGTGGCAAGGAATCCCTCTCACCAGCTCGCTGGGGAACGAGAGATAAGCAGCTGCCTCATCTCTTTTCTTATCTCGGGCTGGCAGGGGCCTCCATTAGCTCTATAGTTTGCATCTGCAGAAGCCCGGAGCTCCGCGGCAGGCTTCGAATAGGAAGGCTCAAGGTAATAACTCAGTGGTGTGCCTCAGCTGGGGACTTCGACAGTAAGCTGGGGCAGGGTGACCGCTAAAACAGGCAAAGGGGAGGTGTTTGTGTGCATTTCGGAGACTTGGGGGTATGCGCTCCTCTCTGGATCCAAAGTGGAACATATTCCCGAAGGGGCCGAATCCCACTTCGGCCCAGTCTTGTGTGAAAGGATCCGGGAATAGCACGTCGTTTTGCGTAGAACTTTCCCGGGCTGGGTCACGCTATCTAGACCGGTGGATGCCAGGCCTGGCGGAATCCCACCCAGATGCCCGCACAGATGAGGGTTTGAAACCGTCCCTCCACTCTTAACCCCACCCCCACCCCTCAGAGATTTCTCCTGTGCCTCCTAAGCAATACAACTACTGGCCCTTTAAATACTACTCCGACCAAAAAAAAAAAAAAAAGACAGGTAGTCGTTCCGACCAATAGAAGACGGAGGGTAGCAACCTGGGGCCAATCGTTGCCCCGCTAGTCCGGAAGACCAAGTTGCGAAGGGCACCGGCTCGGAACTCACCGCCGTTGGGGCCACGTTGCCGCTACCAGACATGACTGTGCTTAGGGAGTAGACCAGAGGCTGCAGCCAAGGTCCTCCGGGATCCGGAGAGGCAGGATCCAGCCCCGAGCACCGCGTGCCCAAGCTCTTCCTGCAGCCTCGGACTGCGGCATCTGCCAAGGGCCCTAAGTCACTTCCGGTGCCCGCCCCCAAAGGGGAGGCACCTCCCCCTGGGCGGGAATTGGAATGACAGCGAAGACTACTCACACTACAGCCCGATTCCCAAGCTGACGCAGGACGCTGGGTTCCCGTTTGCCCGGTCTTCCTGGCTTGAGACCCAGTCCTACCCACCGTTCATTTCTTTTACCATACCTTGTCCTGAGCCAAGAATACTGATGGTCAATAGCTAAGATAGGCTCTCCTGATTTACCCACGAGGTCCCAGTCCAGTCCCTTCCTCCCACCACCCCAATGGATAGTCAGTTAAGCCAAAGTTAGCAGTGCCCAAGAGGAAAAGGATATCAACCCTAAAATGATGCGTTGGAAGTGAAGAGTCCTTGAGCAACTTGCCCTAACCCCCCCAAACTGGATTCAATATCTCTACAAATAAGAGAACTGCTCCAGAAAGCAAGTCATCCTGAATTCTATAGCGTTGTCCCCTGAACAGTGGCACAAGCAATTGGTGCAGCTCATGCGGTACTTCCTTTGCTCTATTAGAACTTAGCTCTGCTACAACCCTGAAGTAGGCACCATTTCTGTAAATGAGGAAACTGGTTTTAGAGATGAAAGGTCATGTCTAAAGACAAATAACTGTTAAGTGGGGGGGTACCAACACATTATTGTTAGTGGAAAAAGTGCTTGTTAGAAACAGTGCGTTAGCCTCTAACGTTACTATGTATTGCACCCATACGCAACTATACAAAGCACCGGGGCGTCCATTCACTCCTTAGGCCTTCATAATAGCTATACAGGAAAGGTATTATCTATAATTCCTAATGTAACTAGGAGCCACACTTAGGTCAGCTGATCCAAGTCTGTACTCAGTACTAACAGTGTATTCTGCTTCTATATACTAATTAAGCCACAATGTACAAGTGACATTCAGTTAACCCCACAGGAGCAATTATCTGACAGGCAATGTAACCCAAATTACCCCTAGACATTTAGTAACACAAACCTCACCTGACAACTTCAAAGAGGGAGTGAAATACTTCAATAAAGGCTCTTTTACCCTGCTTATCTCCTAATCCTGAACAGAGCACACACTAACCTACCCACTATGAAGGCAGACTTCAGGCCGAGGTTCCTCGCCACAATCTGCCTCCTGCTTGAATACTGTCCAAACAGAACTATAGAGATCAGCCAGGCTAAAGAGCAGGTGGTGTTTGGAGGACCTCAGTCCAGGCTGCTCTTAGAACCTGGGCATTAAGTCTTCTGCAGAGATTTTTCAGTAAATTGGACTCAACTAGATGCCGTAAGTCCCATCCCTTACTGGAATGAGGTCGCATCAACATGACTTTAAAGAACTCTGCAGGCAGGGAAGTGGAGCTCTAGGAAGGCAGAGGGGAAGCAGTACATTTTGCACAGTTAAGAATCACCAGTTAAGTCCCAGAATAAATCCTTTAACCCCCAAATCACGTTCTTTTATTTATAGACTCTGGGAGCAAGGACCCAAGCACAGCCTGGTGCTCTTGGGATACAGAATAATGCAGCTATTGTCCACACTCAGAGGTTCCTGAGGCGCCCTCCTCCACTGTCTGGAATTATCTACACTGCTCAAAAAGTTAACAGGAGAATGGTAGGCTGGCCAAAGGAGGAGGCAGGAAAAGAAAGCCCCATTTAGTCCTGAGGGCGATGGAATCAGATCAGGGTGGAGTTCTGGGCATGCCTCCCTGACTCCTGTGCAAGAGTCCTGCCTCTGTCCCACTGTGTCCCCTCTGCTATGTCTCCATTATCACACCCCTTCCTACAAGCAGCTTAAGTGCCCCTCCTGGAGTGCATGAGCAGGTCCCGCTGCAGCCCAGTCTCCAGGCTTGCCGTCAGCCTGGCAGTGGGAGGGTCGGTCAGCAGAGTCAATTTGTTGAAGACACCTCGGCCAAAGTAGTCAGCAATTACAGAGAAGCTGTCATTGGAGCACTTGAGCTGCAGGGAAGGAGGAGAGAAGAGGAATCAGAAGTGAAGTGCTCATTTCCTAAACGAAGAGGAAGAAAGGAAACAAGCCCCCCAGGGCTCCCGTGACTCTGTTGAGTGGGGTCCACATCTATCCCACATCCCACCTGGTGCTGAAACTGATCATGGAGATCCCGTTTCTGTTCCTGGGCCCGGATCATATCCATGACCTTCCGGTTTTCGGGGAGGCAGGTGGGGCAGTCAGCATCACTTTCTGAGTAGCTCTCAAAGCAGTGCTGGTGGAAGGAGTGGCCGCAGAGAAAGTGGACTGAGGGCAACTCCAAGGCACTGTTACAGATGCTGCACTTGGTCTTCTGGAAAATCTTCGGACTACAGACAAGGGAGACAAAGGAGTGGCAAACAGTGTGGACAGGGTCAAGAACCAAGTGGGGACAGAGGCAGCTGCAGTCGAGGAAGGACAGGTTCCTGTTAAGGGACTTCAAGGCCCTGTTCTTGCCACCTAAAAGGGGCCAAATAAGGACACAGGCCCCGGGTCTGCAGTGAGTCTCAGCTTGCTCCCACCAGGTCGAACTGACCCAAGGGGGTATTCTTTTTCTCTTTCAATTTTCACAATTGCGACCAAATTGTTTCTCAGATCTTTACTCAGACATAACCCTTCCCATGGGGACTTTCCTGGCCACCTCATAAATTACACACACTCCTCACCCTATTCTCAGTTAATTTTCTCCTTAGAACCTACCACAGAAGATAACATTTTGCTTATTTAACATGTTTACAATCTGTCTCTACTTCTATAATGTAAGTTCCATAAAGCAGGGCTTTTTGTGCTGTTAAGAACAGTGCTTGGGACATAATAGGGGCTCAGTAAACATTTGTGGAATAAAGAAATTGTTCTCTACTAAGTATTTTACAATGTTGATGGCAGATTAAGACTTTAGAAATTAATGTTTACTATCAATATTTCTACCTTATCCACTTTCTATATTTTCTAAAGCAAAATTTTTCTGGATGGCTTCCAACCACAAAATAAATGTGTTTAGAAAAAGTAAAATACAGGCATATACAGCATACCTCACTTAATTACACTTCACTATTGTGCTTTGCAGATATTGGTTTTTTTTTTTTTTTTTTTTTACAAATTGAAGGTTTGCATCAAGCAAGTCTATGGGTGTTATTTTTCCAATAGCATCTGCTCACTTCATGAACATTTGCTCACATTTTGGTAATTCTTGCAACATTTCAAACTTTTTCATCATAGTGTTTGTTACGGTCATCTGTGATCAGAGATCTCTGATGTTACTACTGTGTGTGTTCTGACAGCTCCGCCAACCGGCTGTTCCCTATCTTCACCCTCTCCTTGGGCCTCTCTATCCCTGGAGACACAACAATATTGAAACGAGGCCAATTACTAACCCTGCCATGGCTCACAGTGTTCGACTGGAAGGAAAAATCAACTAATGTGGCAAACTTCATTACTGTCTTATTGTAATAAATTGTCACAGCCACCTGACCTTCAGCAACTGCCACCCTGATCAGTCAGCAGCCATCAACATGGAAGCAAGACTCCACCAGCCAGACGACGGACTTGCTGAAAGCTCAGCTGGTAGTTAGCATTGTTTTAGCAACCAAGTATTCTTAAGTTTAGGTATGTACATTATTTTTTAGACATAATACTATTGCACACCTGAGAAATTACAGGATAACATATATACAGCTTTATATGCACTAGGAAACCAAAAAATTCATTTGACTCCTTTATTGTGACCTTCGCAGTAGTCTCGAACCACAACCTCTCTGAAGTGTGCCTGTACAGAAAAAAAAGTATCTACTACAAGATAATGTCCTCCAAGCCCAGCAAATGATGATCTATGCACTAAAGCGTCCTGTGGAATTCCTCCGTTCAAGCAGATCTCCAAGAATGAAACGCTCCAACACCTCTATGAAAAGTACTTAGTGACACCCTGCGAGGAATAAGGTGATCCGCGGCCCCCTCCACATATCCGGACGCCCAGTACCTCGCCTTGAGCTCCTGGATCTCCTGGCGGATGCGGGTGGTCTCCTCTCGGTACCGCCGGACCTGGAGCTCATCCTGTGCAATCTGCTGGCTCTGTTTCTGCAGTTTTTGGACCAGGTAGTCCCGGATGACAGACAGGGTGGCTGTGGAGTTGTGGGCCAGGGTCTGCACCACTGAGATCGGGGTCCAGGAGGAAACAGGACAATGAGCAAGCACCACCCTGGACAAAGCTGAAGGGCCCCTGTCCCAGGGCTCGGCTGTCAGCAGCCTGCACTCACCACCCTGACCTCCCAGATACCTAGAAGGGGTGGCATGAGGTTCTTGCTCTCAATGTGCTTAAGCACAGCCGCGACGTACTCCTTGCAGTCCTCCTCCTTGCGGGCAAAGTAGCTGAGTGCCTGTTCCCACAGGGAGGGCTCCTGCTCCCCATGGCGCTCACAGACGGCGACCACCTGCGGGTACTGCTCGTGCTGCATGTGGTAATGCATGATCTGCTGGAACCTGCGGCCAGGGCAAGGCACACCTCAGAAGGGCCCCTGGGAAGCTGCTCGGATCCTTCCCCCTTCCCGGAAATTCCCCGGACTCTTACAGCTTCCCCTGTTCATAGAGGTACAGGACTCCATCCTGGAAGTCATGCATCTGGCAGAGGACAAGGGCCTTGTCAAAGACATCGCAAAAGCGGCCACTCTTCAGCAGGGAGATGGCCTCTGCGTGAAGCTTCTCTTTGACCTAGGGAAGGAGGAGAGCTGCTGGACACAAGGGAAAAACCGCAAGTCTCTTGGAACAAGGCAAGTCAACCACCTTCCTTTAGCCCAATTCCCTCTTCACTGAGGACCATTTAGCCCCCTAGGGTGAGGTGTTTTTAGTCTAAAAAATGCAGCAAAAGGCAGATACAAAAGATGGAGGAACTGTTTTTCCTCCAGCACGTCTTGCGGCTCCTGCCAGGCCTCACGTGTGGGTCCCTCTCATGGGCCCAGTTCTGCAGTCGTAGCTCTAGGAGCGTGTCATAGATGCCCTGCGGTGAGTCTGGCTGCACTTCACTCATGTGCTCTAGGAAAGCTTTCAGCTCTCGTGGGTTGTTGGCAAAGATGGGGATGAACTCCTCTGAGTTGGCCTGGGGGGAGAGAGGAGGCTGAGTGGGCTTGATGCTCACGAGGCCCCGAAGGTGATCCCTGTGGTCCAAAAGCCATTTCCCCTGAGGCCTCACCCTGCAGCCTGGAGACTCCCTATCGCCTTGGCCTTCGAGGCTAGGCTGATAGTCAGTACAAAGTCCCTTCAGCAACTGGGTTGTCTGCTCTGGTATATGGTGCATGAGGATCTTGCCATAGCGTTTCATGTTGCTCTCTGCCTGCTCAAAAGGCAGCTTGCCGATGTACTGAAGAGCTTCCTGATAATTCTGTGGAGAGGTGAGGGGCAGAATAAGCACATACCCCTGCCTCACCCGCCAGGAAGTACCTGTACCACTGTGCCATTCCAGGGATGTCCTGAACAAGAACCAGGTCCTGCCTGAGTCAAGAGTCCCTGATGTCCCACCTTGATGTCCTCTAGCTGGATCTTCAAGTACCACTCATGATGTGCATGGTTCTCAGCCAAATAGAGGGCATGGGAGTAGTAGCCAGCCTGCCGGAGCACCTTGATGGCTGTTTCCACATCAAAGTGGACTTCACTTTCACTCTTTGTCTGCCAAGGAAACATCAGACGAAATCATTCACAGAGGGATTGTAGATTGGGAAGGGAAAGGAAACATGCATTTAATTCTAAGACCAGATTTTTAAGATAGTAATAAAGTCCATGCTTTAGAAAAACATTGTATTATCCAGCTTCCCAAAGTTTCTAAGAGCCAGTGTCTTCCTCTGCCCCTACTATTAGAGGGACTCCTGTGAAGACACAGGACTCTCCCAGGGCTAGTTCCCTGGGCTTCGATACCATGGGAAGTCCTGGCACCATAAAACAAGGGCCCTGGGGGGGCCTCCTCCTCCTCAGGGCGACCCGGAGGGAACGCCCACCACCACCACCCTGCACCTTGATGAACTCCTCCAGCTTCGAGCTGTCCTTGAGCTTGGTATAGCAGTTGAGCAGCAGGGTGGTGTGGTCAGCGTTGGCCAGAGATTGCCGGTGCAGGGTCTGAAGATAGGCAGTCAGGTTGTGGATGCGCTGGGCATCCAGGAACTTGCGGATCACATAGGACGGCTCCAACTTTCCAATGGTTCTAGGGAGACACATGCATCAAAGAGCATCTGGCTCAGAGTACTTCTCAAACTTTCGTGTGCATAGGAATTGCTGGCAGATCTTCTTAAAATGCAAACTCTGCTTTGGCAGGTGTGGGGTGAAGCCTGAGACTGCATTTCCAACAAAGTGCCAAGGGATGTTCATGTTACCACACTGGACCACATGAGCAGCAGGGCGCCAGAGCTTAAACTTAGCTGAGAACAGGAATCCTAGAGAGACTGGTAAAGAGGCTAGACAGGTTCCTAAAACCCTTTATTAGGGCAGACAATTCCAAGAACTAGTGCCAAGGAGAGAAAGAGTGGAAGCAAGAGATGAATATTCTTTTCCCTTTAAAACATCAGGTCAAAATGGATATTCACAAAGGCCAAGCTAAAGTTTAAAATAATGGGTACTCATCAAGTGCATCCTGGTCATGTAATATTTTTGACTCTAAATATTCCCTTTTCAGTAAGGTATGGTGTCTTTTCCCTTTAGGCATCATGGTTCCTGCAGTTTCTGGTAGAGTTCACCCGACCCCAAGGTTTTAGCCTATCTGGCTGCCTGGCCCTGCTCTCTGAGCTGTATCCTAAAGAGCCTCGAGACTGACCGGATATACTGCTGGACAGCTCCGTCATGATTGCCCTTGCTGTAGAGATGGTCCCCATACTGCATGAAGATCTGGGCCAGCCCATCACTGTCCAGGTGCTGGCTCTTGGCCAGGTTAATCGCCATTTCAAATAGATTCTTCTTAAACAACATCTGGATGGGGAGAGAGATTAGAAAATTGGTAGCAACAGTCCTGAGAAAACACCTTCCCAGAATATACCCACAACACACAAGCCACAGAGTCCCCAAGTTCTGATCTGCCTAGATCATAGGGTGAGACCTCTCAGATTCCCCCAAGACCAATATCACCTCCCCTACAAGGCTGTCTGCAGACACAGTGGACCTTGACAGTGAGCTCAGGCTCCCAGCCATTACTTCCCTCTAAGACCTCACCCCAGGCAACCTGCCTTGTAAATTGTACCCTAAGTTGAGCTGAGTTTAGGCTGTGGTCCAGAGGGAAGGAGACACCCTGGCCTGGGAAGACTTGGAGAGCCTGTTCCTACAGCTGCGTCTGGGTGCCTGTGGCCAGCTCTGGGAACCTGGTGGCCTTGCCTCCAGTTTGGTCTGGGTGTCCTTCTCCTGCAGTGCGTGGACCCGCCCATCCCGCGTCAGCACGTACAGGGAGCCCCACTCAGCAAGCACATCCACTACGTCCTCAAAGACGGCGCTATAAGCTATGAACTTGTTGCACAGGTCATAAATGTTGAGAATCTGCTTGTCGGAGCTCTGTGAGTCCCTGCTGGTGAACTCTGACCTGTGTGGGAAAGAAAAAGCACCTGAAATTTGTATCACCTCTCTCTCAACTCTCCTTTAGTTCCTTTCCCATGACAACTTTGGTGCTGCCCGTTCCACCCAGAACAAACCACTTCCTTGGCCCCTCTAGGAGCTCATCCCATAACACCCAGCATTGTGCTGATAGCTGTAAGAAGAGAATGTACAGACCTGACCTTAATCTTCAGGATCCTGTAATTAACATACACAACAGATTTAAAAATTAAATACACATTCAAACATCCATTCATTTAACAAATAATTAGTGGCTGGTGTATGTAAGACACTGTGCTTAGAAATGAATGAAAAGGAACTAAGATCTGACATGGGTGACTTCCATCTTGCAGAAGACCCTGCTGTCCCTTCCTGGTGGCTCGGAGGAAAAATACTGTGTCCTTCCCTTGCCAATTTCTATACTACTCAGTCCCTGGTTCCTCTGCCCAATTTATTTTGACCAAAGAGTAAAAAAACCAATATCAGGCCTTAAATTCACTAGAGCATTCTAGAGCACCAGGGCTGCTCATCAAATTTCTGCAGCAAAACACACTTTTCAGTAAAAATATTTTAAATGAGTTCATGTGTAAGCACAACCTACATAAAACCAGAGTAGGAAACTGACAGGATCTAGGCATTAGGATTTTAAAATCAGTATAATTCTGAGGAAAAGTCTAGCCCCCTCTCCCTTTCCCTTCTCCCTCGAGTCCTTACTTGGGGGAAACCTTCCGGTCACGAGAGACAACGACAAGGTAGCCTCTAAACCAGTGGGCAATGAGTTTATGGCCCTCAAACGCAAAACAGGGTCCACGTTCATCAGGCTGGTACAAGTAGACACACTCATCCCCAGCCACTATGAACTGCAGGTCCTGAGAAGGGTCGCTGAGGGCTGAACAGTGCAGGCCACAACCATGGGTGTCCAACTCCACACGAGGGTAGTCCTTTCCAGAAACTATGTAGGACTGTGAAAATTAAGAAAGGGATTAACAGACTGCCTTTGAGGAAGTGGCATCTAAGCCTTCCCAAAGAAGTTCCCATCTCCATACCTGCTCTCTCTTAACTCTTACCACCCTACGACTTTCCCTGGCTGCTTGCCTTCTCCACTAGCCATCACCCATCTATTAAATACATAAGCAGGGACCACATTGTCTTCATCTGTGTATACTATCACTACCTACTACAGAAATCTTGCATATAAGGGAAACGCAATCATCTTTTACTGTTTTATCAAAAAGCTGCTCCTTGGGGGGAAAAAAAAACTACTTCTAAGAGTAGACTGTTAACACATTAGGAGCTCCAGAAACCAGAGAAGTAAAGCAACTTGTCCAATGTCACTCAACAAGTTGTTGGAAAAAATTCACATCTTTTATCACAAGCCCAGAGTCTTTTCCTAAGTCTAACTCTTTCCAGTCTCCTAAGTGAAGAAATAAAATATTAAGCTGGGCAAATGAATCAAGGTTATATGATAAAAAATTTAAAAATTCTCCCTCTCTTGGCAGTTCCTTCCACTAGTCCCCTGAGAAGCCTTTCCTGCCTGCCCCTAATAGTGGAGACCTCGATCTTACCTGAACATTCTCAGTTGTCACAACAAACAAGTGAGTTGTCTTTCCTGCTTGGCGAAAGGCCAGTCCAGTAACAGGATAGTTGCCCTTGTGCAAAATCTGTGTCTTGCTGTGCCGGTCCCGGGTGATATCTCCTTTGTTCAGTGTAACACTGCCATCGGTGAAACCTTTAGGAGACCAAGAAACAGCACTTCACTGAGGCTGAAAAGGTCAGGAAGCACAGAAGGGGAAAAAGACCATTTGAGGCACTTGTTAGAAGTAACAAGCTTTTTCCTCAAACCCAACTCCTCCAAAGGGTAACGCTGAAGATCAGTACTCGCTGACTCGTTTTCAAAGAACAAAACTAAATGCTTTCCCCTTCCAAATTTTAATATCTAAAAGGCTTCAGTTCGGTACAAAGAGGTCTCATGAAAACAATTAGCTGCCGAAGCAACTCTTGAAAAAAATCTGTAAAGTATCATGGATTGTTAACTTTGCCTTTACCTTCTTTCTGCTTACCAATGGCCATAAAATTGAGATTTTCGTGGACAGTCAAACAAGACACAACAGTTGGCTCTGTTCCTGGTATGGCAGGGAAGATCCGAGTGCAGAGTGGATTGCCACCATCTCTCTTCTCCAAGTTCCAGATCTTTACCTGTGGACAGACCTCAGATATGTGAATGTAGTCACCTCCCCACAACCAATCACTCCCAGGCTTCTGAGTCTTTCCCATCTCTTTCCTAGGACTCACCAGGGGGTTGATGCCCTCTTCATCCTCACCAACAGATGCCAGAATATTGTGCTGCTTCAGCTGGTACAGGTGTGTCACCCGTAGTTTGTAAGCCTGGAAGAATGTAAGCTGTAGGGAGCGGGGCAGGAACCAGATCTGGCCTTCCATATGTGCAGAGTAGTCAAGGAGCCTCCTTTCCAAGGAGACACTTGTATTTACACAAGAACCCAGAGAACAACTAATATACACAGCTTTGAAAATTTTTCCAGGATTTCTCCACATATTATCTCCTGGGGCTCCCCATCGCTGATGAGATTTTAAAAAAGGCCAGTTTAGTGGCAGCAATAGAAAGAACAAAGCAACAAACTCCTGGTCTCGTTTACCTCCTCACCCACAATATGGGGCAGAGGAGATGACACCTTATCTATTCATCTTTTAAAGCCAACTTGCATCCCTTATTTTGATTGATCTTAAAAATAACCTTGCAAAACTGGTATCTTACATTGCTTTTACAGATGAAGAAACTGACCCCAGAGGGGGTAACTAGCTAGCCCAGGACTGCTTTGTTGGCAACACGCAGAAGAAAGGGCTTCCTTCTCTCTCTCCCCTCAGCCCACTGAAGGATGTCTGAGCGCCCATCTAAAGGACAGTAGCACGGAACACGAAGCCCTCTGGCGCACATATTCCATCCCAGCTGGATCTCCTCAGGGATCCGGGGAGGGAATAAACAGCTACAGAGGAAGGATATCTCCAAAGACTAGGCTCCCTCGGCCTGAGTCACAGACAGTGATGCCAGGAGGGAGGCAAAGGAACTTGGAAGTAGCGAGGCCAGACACAGGTGCGGCCCCGGGAGTCGCCCCATCACTGCCCAGCGGCTCCTTCACCAGCTCTTTGTCGAAGAATACGAAACGCCGCCACTGCAGGTAGGCCGCCATCTTGGCCGAAGACCCCACCCCTGGGGGAGGTCACGTGAGACCATCCGCGATCACGTGACCCGGCAGCGCGCAGGAATCTGGGCGCACATGCGCTCTGGAGTAGGGGTGACTGTGCTGGTGGGAGAGCGAGCTGGGGGGCGGGAGGGAGGTTTCCGGCCTGGCTCCTGCTCCAGGGTTGGCGAACTTGCCGATCTGACTGCGCTGGCTAAAATGTTTCTGAAAAGCTGGACCCTTCGCCTCTCTGTTTCTTCCTTTTTTTAAGTGCGCGGGCACTGAGGGATCAAGGAGAGGTCACGCGCTTTGTGAATTGTAATCCCCTGTGCCTAAGTGAATCTCGTGCTACCCTAAGTGAACCAGTGTACATGAAACTGGCTTTTCAGCTGTAGGAGAAATAAAATTAGAAGTTTGTGTCTGTCATCAGATACAAATTATGAACCATAGGCAATATCTTAACATTCAATTCGTGTCCCGCTGTTAGTGTGTGGCACATAATACAGACCTGAAGCATGGTTCTTAGGAGCTGGGAAATACTGATGGGACGGGAATTCCCAAGAACCTGGGCTTTCTTCTTTTGATAGTGGCAGGGTATAGATCATAAGCAGAACACAGCAAAAGGCCTGGAAGTAGCAGCTCTGAGAACTGAGTGATATGGCAAATGTCTAGATAATACATGGCCATCTACTTATTCCCAGCTCTGGCTAAACCAACCGTTCCGGTGGAAAACTAAGTGTACTGTTTGTGTGCCACAGTGATCTATGTACAGGAGTGTGGTACAATGTCATTATGAGATAGTATGGGCGCATGATAAAGGGGTCAACTGGTTCGTATTTGTGGGGGCTTTTTGCGTCCTTCCACCACACAGATTTTCAATTTCGGAGTATTTTACTCGTTATTCCAAGCAGCCATAGTCCCCAGAGCAGGGGCTATCTATGTCTTGCTTCCCATAAACCAGGTTTAACAGCCTGGTATGTGCTACATGTTTGGGTGCAGGAATGAACGTGGATGATTTTCCTCTTATCCCCTCATCTCTTCAATCTGGTTGACAGGAAAGGTAATATCCATCTATCTAAAGAGATAAATGATGTGCCACCATCAGGCACACAGATTTCCTGACTTCAGATTTCTTCCCTCTTTACCACACAGGTACTGAAATTGCTTTGGGATCCCAAATCATGGGCAGAAGCACAAATGGGGAGTCAATTTCACCTGCTGAGCTTATGTTCCATACTACTCATTAGAACTGTTAGTGTGTAAGACTGAATACGTTAAAAGAAGCAATATGAAAGAAAAGAGATGTGAAAAGCAGAATGACATCTTTGTTGTTGACTTAAGTGCGCCCCCTCCTGTGCAAGGGCAAAGGCCCAGAGTCTCCCTCTGATGTTTGAACCTGGTCCTGTGCCCATTGTGTCTTCTTAGGGATGAAGGTACAAAGATTGGCCTGCCAGAGCGACCCACAGCACCTCTTCAGACTTACTGCCTTCCTGCCTTTTCTCCTTTTGACAGATATGTATTGAGTACTCACTATTCCTGGAATTGAATCATATGCCCACAATATAAATATGAACATGCCATGGCTCTTGCTCCTTAGGGAACTCAACCACCACCATAGAGGACACAGAAAGCACGCACAGTAACCAGCCCTTAATTTTCTGCAGCAAGTTATACCTAAGTTTTCATTTTTCATAGACTCTTCATAGAACCTATCTGCAGAAAGATTATTATCTCTGATGAGAAAGGAGTCTCAAAGAGGTTCAAGTGACTGTTTCAAGGAAAAACATCAGTTCTTTGGAAGTAAAACTGTTGGGGGAGAGGTGTTGTGTGTTTTCCTCAGTTCTTGTCCGCAGTAACAAAGAATTGAAGGTCAGAGACAGTACTGAAGCAGAGTAGAAGTTCCAAGTTACTTAGAGAGTGCACGTGACCTCAGAGAGAGAGGAGGCACTGAAAAGTTGGGGGTTCCCCCTTTTAAGGATTTTTCAGGAATATGAAAACGGGCTACGGGTGGGGACTTAAGTGGCCCCAAATATCTTTGATGAGACATTGTTTCTTATCAGTCCTCTAGGTAATTCTGCAAAATTAGCTTAACACAAGAAATTTACTGCTTTGGTCCCCTCCCAGGATAGCAGCTGCCTGGTTTGAGCATATCAATCAAGACTGTCCTTTTTCCAAAGTGGGCAGTTATTTGTTTGCTAAAGAGTACATTAAGAATCTTTCTTCTTAAACTTCCTGGGTTTTTTCAAAATGCAATTTTGGTTTTAAGGTGGGATCTCCCTGTCTTTATTATGCTGTTTATAGGTGGGCCTCTTAACAGGCTAGAATAAATCTTACAATGATCTATTGACACAATGAAGACTGGGCTGTGCTCAGATACTTCTCTTTATCTGGGGAATATTCAAACATTCAAGGCCAAGTTGCTCCTGACCTTTTGAGCTTTAATTAACTCATTTACTGAGTCTTTTCTGGTTTTCCAGTTTTAACTGGTTAACCAAGTCCTTTCCAGGGCGCTTTTACTGACCTTATTCTCTTGCCACCCCGCTCATATCTATTTTCCTGCCTAACAAAGTTAGGCAACAACTTCAGTTCCTTGAACCTTTAATCAGCCGGTTTGCTGGGGTTTGCCGGTAGGCTACGCTTGTCAGAACATACACAAAGGTTGGTCTTTTAGTTGTACTGTCTGAATCCAGGAACTGTCAGTATAATAGGAAGATAAGCAGGTAAACTACACAGAAAATGATTACATGTACAAATTCACTTACAAATTCTGCACACTTAGAACTTGAGTTCTGAAGGGTCTAAAGGTAAAGAAGCAATTCAAATCTTTAGCTTGAAATTAAAGAGATCACAACTCAGAATTAAGAACTGCCTAGCAATGCCCTCTTTTCCCATCCACAAACTGCTGCCCATGAACTTACAGTGGTCATATCTACCGGAACAGAACAGGAACACTTCTTGTTCCAGCTGCAAACTTTTTTTTTGTTTGTATTTTTTTTTTTTTTCTCATCTGGCTCTCTAGGTGAAACCCACTGGAAAGTCTGGTTTTTTTCTCTTAGCCCCTGAAAAGGCTAGCAGCAGTTTCCACTTTGGGAGCAAGAAATTCAACCTAAAATGATCCCAGAGCTCTTACAGCACAAGAGAGCCCAGGGCTCCAAAGCTACAGTGAAAAAGGAGAAAGGAGCAATTAGCTTATTGATTGTGAAAACCTGGCTTATGAAAGGGAAAGGAAATTCCCCATGAACTTGGCAAAGCACTTACCCAAGCTTTTAACACTGCAGTATGCCCATGTTTTAGTTTTATTTTTCTAGATTGACAACAAAAACAGTAAGAAATTAACAAATGCATATTTGGGGCTTAGGATGTCCCAAGCACTGCGCTAAGCCCCTTACACCCTTTAATTGTATACACCAAACCTGTTAGGCATGTACTAGCATGGCTTTTTTTAATCAAACGTACATTGTAGTGGTTCAATAGTCCCCATCCTCCCAACCCCGCTCCTGCCTACTCCCCTCCCCCTTGGTAACCACTAGTCACTTCTCAGTGTCTACAAGTCTAACAGCACGGCTTTTGTAATGATGTGTAAACTGAGGCTCAGGAAAGCTAACTTGCCTAGGGTCACACAGGTAGGAAGTGGTGGAGTTGAGAGGCAAAACCAGGTCTTGTCAAACTCCAAAGTCCCATACTCTGGGTGCTCAATTTATTATTTTTTACAATACTCAAGTCCATAAATTTGTAAGTCTCAGTGATGTTTGCCCTGATCAACATTGCCCTCAGCTGATGATGTAACTTGCATGGTTTTTAATGCGTGCATATGCCAGGATTAATGTGTCTGCTTTAACCTTCTATCAGGTTGGCACATGTCCTGCAAGAAAGCAACTTCTTCCCTTGGGTTCAGCACAGTGGGGATACAGTCCTCAAATGTTATTAACAAGTTACTCCATAGGTAAGAACTAATGGATTCAGCTGCCTTGGTCAACTTAAACCAGATATTGTACAATAAAATTTCCCCAGTTTTACAACTTGTTCTTGTGAAACACTATTCTTCTCTCTGATGGGTGAACACAATAAGTAACTCCCCAGAGCCCTTGCACCTGCTGCACCTCCCACAGGGACAGACACTCAGGTGGAGAAGTGCAGCTGCAGCAAAACTGGGCTCCCACCAACAGTTTTCTGAGGTTGGGAATTCACTTAGCAGCAGGGGACACTGACTTTTTAAATCTCCCAATTTGCAGTCATTCAACAGGTTTTTAGTAACTATTTGTTTCCCAACAGACATATGATTTCTCCAAGGACAAGAAAAGGTCGTCCCCATCCCTGGAATCCCAGCACCTAGCAGTTTGCATATGACAGGGGCCCAGTAAATGTTAAAATGCATATTGTTTGAAATGGAAGGAAAGAATCTACCCTACCAGATAGTTGGCCAAAGTCGAGTCAATTATCAAGAAACAAAAGGTTTCTCTCTAATAAATTGAAATGACAACTAAATATCCATTATTATGACTAAGCAACCCCTATGCTATGGAATGTTCTACTGCAGTAAACAACAAGGTGAATCTTTCTTTACACATTGATACTGAAAATTCTCCAGGACTTGTTAAATATCAGGAAAAAAAGCAAGTCGCAACAACTGTACATTTTATCATTAAAAAAAAAGTTCCATGTTTCAAGAGACAAATGTTTATATGTAAATACAGCAGAAAAGACCTGGAAGGTTGCACACCATGGTGATAACAGCAGATAACTCCAGAGGAAACAGGTTAAGGATGGTATCAGAGGGAGGTAGCTTTATCTAGAATGTGTGAATTTTTTTCAAGACTGCATTTGTATATTATTCGTGTAATTTAACTGTTAAAGTTATGCTAATTTCTCTGTATTTTTTACCAGTTTCTCCACATGAAGACTAAACTACCTTTAAAAGGAAGAAAAATATATCTCTTCCTGGTTCTGCCAGTAGGCCCACCTTCTAAACAGACACCCGACTACTGTCTCCCAAAGCATCATGAAAAATGTAGGGAAAGGAACAGATAAGTGGTGTGTGTGTGTATCTTCTTCAAGGACTATTCCATTTCTACGGGGCTGTAAAGCGGGGAGTGGGGAGCGCCAAATACCTAAGGTGACCTGACGGCAGCAAAGAGAAGGGATTTAACCGAACAATAAGGCGGCGCGGCGCAAACATGATTAACCAATTAAATAAAAGTGTTCTGTATGCAGCGTTTTTCAGTTTAGAATATTCTTTCCCATACAAACACGGGTTAGAGGAAGGCGTCCGGGCCAAGTTCCGCCGCTATTACAAGTGTTATCTCCGACCCATCAGCGAACATCCCTTTTGGTGGCTTTAGTTTCCTCCGTGAAACAAAGGGGGGTTGGGGTGGACTGAGCCTGAAACGCAGCCATTCTCTGATTTCAGGCCAAAGCCCAGGGCAGTTTTCGATACCAACCAGCAAGCGAACGTCTCTCCTGCGCGGCTGCGGAGGGGATGCGGGTGCTTCCCACTCCTAGGCCACGGTTCCCCAGGTGACCGGAAGAAGAGCTCCGAGTGCGGGTCGCTCCGGGACGGGTAGTGAAGCAGCCATCGCCGAGGCCAGAAAAGTACCGCGAGCGCACCGGCGCGGCCGCTGAGCCCCCGTGACGTGGTCCAATCCGGGCGCAGCGTCGGCAGTTTTTCCCCCAGCCGGTGGACTGGCCCCTGAGCCTCCTCCCAGGCAGGGGCCGGAGACGGAGGGGAGGCGGGCCTTAGGACGTGGCCCAATGGGAGCGCACGTCAGGGCGTGGGGGGGCGGGGCCTGGCGCGCGGCGCAGGGCCGGCCGGCAGAGGCTCCAATGAGCGCGCGCCGCGTCCGGGGCGGCTGGTGCGCGAGACGCCGCCGAGAGATTGGTAGCTAATGTAACAGTTTGCAAACCGAGGGGAGTTGTGAAGGGCGCGGGCTGGGGGCGCGCTGCCGACCTCGTGGGTACGTCCGCCGCCGCGTTTGTCCCAGAGCTGTGGCCACCGGAGCGGAGGTAAGAGGTAGCGGGGATGGGGATGGGAATGGGGATGGCGATGCGAGCCGGCCACCCATCCCAGAGGAGGCAGCGTGCTAGCCCGGGGGTGGGTCGGTGGTGGGAGTGAGGGCCGCGCGAACGCTGGTGCGCCTGGCCCCGCAGCTGGGTCCCCGGGGCGCCCCCTCGCCTTAGGGGGAGGTCAGGACCCGTTTCCCGGAGTGGGTGCCACCGCCTGCGTCAGGTTAGGCTTAGGTGAACTCGGGGTACTCGGTTGCCGCCCAGCGTGGAGCCTTACCGTTCCAGGCACAGCGTCTGTATAGACAGCCGGGCGGGGGGTGGGATGGAGAAAGGGGGTGGGCAGGACAATCTGAAGGAATGCTGAGGAGGAGACAGGCCAGGCCCTCTTTCCATCCCAGTCTCCCCAACGTCACCATCTTTCAGTTCCCGTCTAAGCCCGGCCTGGCTTTCACTTGCCAGTGGGGGAGCTCCAGGTGTGGGGAGGTAACTGAGCTCTGGGCGGGGATCCCTGGCCGCACCCCAGGTATCTGATAGTAGGGACAGTGCTAGGGTGTGCCACTTACTGCCTATGCAGTGGAGGGAAGGCTCTGGTCTCCTCCTGTCCTGTTACCTTTCCTGTTTAGGAATGTAACATGCCATGGCTCTTGGATGGACCCCAGGGTCGTTTGTGTGGGCACTTCTGGGGATGAATTAGAGTGCTTGGTCCCTATCAAGAGGGAGGGGAGGAGATGTAGGCTGCTCTGCCCTGGGTACGAAAGGGGTACGTATGGATCTTAGAGCTTCTCAGTTCTGGGATGAGGTTCTGTCTCCTTCATTCAGGACATCCAGTTACAAGTGTTTTTCTCCTCCCCCAGGGGCACGATGGCAGCCACCGGACGGAGGCAGAGACCACGGAGGCAAGCCTGTTGGGCCTTCATGGCTGTGCTCTTGGCAAACCTGCTGGCACTGACTGGTGTGTACTCCAGCAGAGGGATCAAGAAAAGAACAAATGAGTGAATGATGAATGATACATGGTGGGGAGAGGGAATGAGGCTCTCGGTTGGAAACCTGGATTCTTGAGTTGCTGAATCCAGTCCATTGTCTTTGTCTTTTGCTCTCTTACCTTTTCCTGGTAAGATGGAAAACTGTGCTCTTTAATTAGAGAAGACTTGGGAAGGTGGGAGAAACGGGGCTAGTTGGTGAATCTGTTTCCCTTTCAGACACGCTGGCAGTGATGTCTGTGGACCTGGGCAGCGAGTCCATGAAGGTGGCAATCGTCAAACCTGGGGTGCCCATGGAAATTGTCTTGAACAAGTGAGGGCGGCCCTAGTGTGAGGGGTGGGGAAGGAGGATGTCTGGCCTTCAAGCTGGTGTGTGTTCTTTGTGATGCCCACAGCCAGCTTTGGCGCCTGAGGGATCGATTGTATGTGGGTGTCTGCACACTGCTGTAGATACCAGGACCCAATGTCTCTTTTCCTCAGGGAATCCCGGAGGAAAACCCCAGTGACTGTGACCCTGAAAGAAAATGAAAGATTCTTTGGAGACAGTGCAGCAAGCATGGTGAGCTAGCAGCCCACCCCTTCTCAGAAGCAGTAGGCAGATGAGAGGACAGATCCCAGTTGCTGATGTAAGACGTAGGCGGTGGGGGCTGGGGAGCCTAATATGCTGCTGCTCCTTTACCTCCTTCAGGCCATCAAGAATCCAAAGGCAACGCTGCGTTACTTCCAGCACCTCCTGGGGAAGCAGGAGGATAACCCCCACGTGGCCCTTTACAGAGCCCGTTTCCCAGAGCACCAGCTAGGCTTTGACCCACAGAGGCGGACTGTGCACTTCCAAGTTAGCCCGTGAGTGCTCTTCTGGGCAGGGGCACCCAGCAGGCCTGACGGGCTCCTCTGGCGCGTGCCCACCGTTGTCCTTGCCTTAATGCCTGGTTTTCCTGCCTCCCCCCGCCCCAGGCAGCTGCAGTTCTCCCCTGAGGAGGTACTCGGCATGGTGCTCAATTACTCCCGATCCCTGGCTGAAGATTTTGCAGGTGAGTGGCCAAGGTGGGCCCGGGGGTGGCCAGGTTCCCTAGGGTCTCAAAGGGGGGCAGTTTTGCCTCCCAGGGAAGGTTTGGCAACGTCTGAAGACATTTTTGGTTGACAACTGGGGAGCTGCTGCTGGCATCTAGTGCGTAGAGACCAGGGTGCTGCGAAATGCCCTGCTATGCATGAGACAGCCCCGCAAAACAGAGTCATTCCGTCCAACATGTCAGTCATGCCGACACTGGGAAACCCTCACCTAAGGTAGAGGCCAGTGGGAACCCTGTTGTGTCATCCTGTCTGCAGAGCAGCCCATCAAGGATGCTGTGATCACTGTGCCAGCCTTCTTCAATCAGGCTGAGCGCCGAGCTGTGCTGCAGGCTGCTCGCATGGCCGGCCTCAAGGTGCTGCAGCTTATCAATGACAACACCGCCACTGCCCTCAGCTACGGCGTGTTCCGCCGGAAGGATATCAACACCACTGCCCAAGTGAGCCAGGGAGGAACTTGTGCCCAGACTTGCTGGGATGCTGAGGGTGGGGGCCACTTGGCTTGTTTTGCATCTTGTTTGCATGCCTAACCCTGGACAAAAATGCAGCAACAGCCACCTCTCAGCCACTGTTGCTGCTGCTTGGACGCAGGCAGGCACCCTGGAGCTGGGTAAAGGTCATGTGACAGTGGCCTTGATGTCTCTGCAGAATATCATGTTCTATGACATGGGCGCAGGGAGCACCGTGTGCACCATCGTGACCTACCAGACAGTGAAGACGAAGGAGGCGGGGATACAGCCACAGCTCCAGATCCGGGGAGTAGGGTGAGTGGGTGCCGGAAGGAGGGCCACTGGCTGTCCCACCCTTGGTCGGGGTTCTTTTTGGAGGGGTAACTGCCTCCCTTCCCTGCTCCGTGCAAGACTGCTTTCCTGTTTAAAGTATCACTCATCACGGGTTACCTCTTCCAGAGAACAAAGGGAAGGTGGAGGCAGGGAGGACACTTTGGGGAGCTGGGAAGGCAGGGAACTTCCTGATTTTTTTTTTCCTCTTGTCATTTCTAGTTTGGCTGTCACTGCCAATGTCTCACTCCTTGAACCCATTCTTTCCTCTGCATCTTTACTACTCCTGCCCTAGTCCGAGCTGCCATCGCCTCTTGCCTGCAGAATTACAGGAGATCTCCCCGCCGCAGTGTGGCCTCCGTCTGGTTTTCTCCATGTCGTAGCCAGAGGGTTCTTTTCAAAATGCAAACCAGAGTATAACCTGATTCTTGAAAAACCCTTCACGTGCTCCGAACCTTTGCCTTGGCCTGAGCTGCTGTTCCGGTGTGGGCTCTTGACGCCTCGTCCCTGACGCCGAGCCCCTTGCTCTTTGAGCTGCAGCCGTGCTTGTGTTTGGCACACGCGCCACCCTCTCCCCCTCCTCCGAGGCTTTGTACTCTTCCCTCTGTGTAGGATGTTCTTTCCCCTTCTCTTCACCTGGTTAACTCCAGCTCACCCTTCAGGTTTTAGGCATCTCTTCTTCACAGATCTTCCCCTCACATCTCTAAATAGCTAAAATTTCTTACATGTCTGTTCCAATGACATTGTCTGTATAACACGGGGTGGTTCAAATTTCTCATTTGTTACTATTGGATTGCTAGATTGTTTGATTGTAAACTCCTTGAGAAGCAGGGACCCTGTTTTTTTCCTCTCAGTTGCATCCCCAGAGACAGATACGTAGTCAGTGCCCAGTAAGTGCAGCTGAGTGAATGGACCAGTGAACTTACTGTGAGGTGTCAGCTATGTGGGGTGGGTCAAGTTCCTGGTAGCTGAAGGGACCCCAGTATTTCCTCACACTTTTCCCTGTTGCCCTCTCCTGAACAGATTTGACCGCACGTTGGGGGGCCTGGAGATGGAGCTCCGGCTGCGTGAGCACCTGGCTGGGCTTTTCAATGAACAACGCAAGGGCCAGCGAACAAAGGACGTGCGGGAGAACCCCCGTGCCATGGCCAAGCTGCTCCGTGAGGCAAATCGACTCAAAACTGTCCTGAGTGCCAATGCTGACCACATGGCACAGGTGCCCACGTGTGGCTGGCTGGGGGCAAATATTCCCACCCGGGGGTAGAGGGCCCCACCGCCCTGAGCTAGGCTGTGCCTGTGCCTCGTGTGGCGCCTCCCCTCTTCCCATGGCCCCTGCCAAGCACGCAAATTCCCGTTCTGTTGGTTTCTGACCTGCCCACCTGGAGAGTGGGACCTGGGCAAGAACTCTCTCATTTCCTCATCCTCCCCCAGATCGAGGGCCTCATGGATGATGTGGACTTCAAGGCGAAAGTGACTCGAGCAGAGTTTGAAGAGCTGTGTGCAGACTTATTTGAGCGGGTGCCCGGGCCTGTGCGGCAGGCCCTCCAGAGTGCTGAAATGAATCTGGTGAGGGGGGTCCTCAGGTGGGCGCGGGGTGGGAGACAGTGGGGCAGAAGGTGACTAAGCGGCAGGGAGGACGGAGCAGAAGTGGTGAGGGAGGAGCCGGTGCTGAGGAGAGCCGACCAGTACCGTCCATTTCACATTCTTTCTCTGCAGGATGAGATCGAGCAGGTGATCCTGGTGGGTGGGGCCACTCGGGTCCCCAGAGTTCAGGAGGTGCTGCTGAAGGCTGTGGGCAAGTGAGTGGGGGCTGGGGCTCCTGAGCTGGGAGAGGGAGGCCGACAGGGACTCCAGAGAAGACGGGCTGATGCTTGGGACCTCCACAGGGAGGAGCTGGGGAAGAACATCAATGCGGACGAAGCCGCCGCTATGGGGGCTGTATACCAGGCAGCTGCGCTCAGCAAAGCCTTCAAGGTGAAGCCGTTTGTCGTCCGAGATGCAGTGATCTACCCCATCCTGGTGAGTGAGCCTGTACGATCTGGTGGGGACAGCTCCCTGTACTCCCAGGCGTGACCTGCCCTGCTGTCTGCTCCGGCTTGTCCCTTGGCCTTTCTGCCCACTGATGCCCCCACCCACCCCTACCCCTGGGCCTGCTCTGGTGGTCTAGTGTGCCTCCCTCTGCCTGCTGTGTAGGTGGAGTTCACAAGGGAGGTGGAGGAGGAGCCTGGGGTTCGCAGCCTGAAACATAATAAACGTGTCCTCTTCTCTCGGATGGGGCCCTACCCTCAACGCAAAGTCATTACCTTTAACCGCTACAGCCAAGATTTCAACTTCCACATCAACTATGGTGACCTGGGCTTCCTAGGGCCCGAAGATCTACGGTGAGGGGGTCAGGCAGGATGGGAGCACCGCGAAGGGAGGCTTTGGGGCCCGCAGGGCTGACAAATAGGAAGCAGGCTGTGGGGGTGGGGGTGGGGTGAGCATCTTCTCTAGAGGGTGCTTCCCTCCTCCTGAGGGACATCTCGTGCCAGGAGGCCGTGGGGTCTGGAGCTGGAAGTTCAGTGGGTCCCCCTGAACTGCTCTCTCCTCCACCAGCGTATTTGGCTCCCAGAATCTGACCACAGTGAAGCTGAAAGGGGTGGGTGAGAGCTTCAAGAAGTATCCGGACTACGAGTCCAAGGGCATCAAGGCTCACTTCAACCTGGACGAGAGCGGTGTGCTCAGCCTAGACAGGGTGAGAGGAGGGGGCTCATACTCGTGGCGGGGCTGGGGGGCCTGGGGGCCAGGCCCCACCCCTCTCCAGTAGAGGTTCCACGTGGCACTAGAACCTGAGAAGCGCAAAGGGTTGGGGAATTAGCTCTAAGCAAAGCCAGCCGGGATCTGGTCTGGGCTGTCTCAGGGCCTGCAGGTAGTTGTGGACCATGTAGATTACCAGAAATGGTCCGGAGAGTTAATGTCTTATGGAACATGCTGTGGGGCATAATGGCCTTTTCTGTTGTGAGTGAGGTGCTGGGCTCTGCCGGGAAAGAAAGGAGCATGAGCCTGTCCCCAGGGGGCTTGAGGTCAGAGGGAGTGGAGGTGACTTGATCCAGGAGCTCATAGGAGGAGGCGGGTGACAGCACAGGGCAGCATAGCCGGGAGCCGCGTGTTGTGTGTAAGCAGGCACCCACTCCAGCAGGAAAGGATGGGTTAGCAAAGCAGTTCTTCATCCTGAATCCCTGTTGTCAGGTGGAGTCTGTGTTTGAGACACTGGTGGAGGACGGTCCAGAAGAGGAATCTACTCTGACCAGTAAGATGAGTGTGCATATGAGTGTGAGAGAATATGTGTTGGTGCGTTTTGGGGAGGCGGGCGGGCCTTGGCCTTGGGTAGGAGGTAGAGTCGCTACTGTGGTCAGTTCCCTTTGAATCTTGTGCTTTTTTCCTTCTAGAACTTGGCAACACAATCTCCAGCCTGTTTGGAGGTGGTACCACACCAGATAGTAAGGAGAATGGTACTGACACTGTCCAGGTAAGGTCAGGAATGGAGCCAGGGAGCATGGAGAATGGTGTGTGGGGCCAGATAGTGGCAGCAGAGGCAGGGAATTGGGGTGGGCATCCCAGCTGCCTAAGATTTAATAGCCCTTCCCTTCCCCCTTGCCGGCTTAACCATACGCTCCTCTGGACTCTGAGCTGGCCCTGTGCTCAAGCGCCAGTTCCCCTCGTCACCAAGCACTTGTCTTTTGTCCAATGGGCTGCCTGGCCCAAACAGCCGGCTGCCTGTTTCCAGACAGTTGTCAGCTGTCTAGCCCGAGCTGTGGTGTGCGGCCTGCCCCTTCAGAGCAGAGCCTGGGGGTCTGGCGTGACTGAGCCAGTTCTGATTCACAGACTGCTGGTGAGTGTTATCTGTGGGTGTGTCTGTGACTGTTTCCCAGGAGGAAGAGGAAAGCACTGCCGAGAGAAGCAAGGATGAGCCCGGAGAGCAGACTGAGCTCAAGGAGGAGGCTGAGGCCCCAATGGAGGATACATCTCAGCCCCCACCCCCCGAGCCTAAGGATGATGCAGTTCCTGGGGGTGAAAAGGCCGCAGAAAAAGAAAATGGGGAAGAGTTTGAGGCCCCGGTGAGCTGCTAAAGCCAGTCTGGACGCGAGGTTAAGGGAGCAGATGCCTGCCTTGTTTCCCAGCCCCTCAAGCCCTGCCACTGGAGAACAGAAGGGCCTAAGCTTTTCCTGACATCCCTATCTTTTTCTCCACCAGAAGCCGAGTGAGAAAAAAGAGGCAGGGTCTGAGGGTGTCCCTCCAGCCCCAGAGGAAGAAAAGAAGCAGAAGCCTGCCCGGAAGCAGAGGGTGGTGGAGGAGATTGGGGTGGAGCTGGCCCTCCTGGACCTGCCAGACCTGCCCGGGGATGAGCTGGCCCGCTCGGCGCAGAAGTGAGTGAAGACCGCGGGCGCCTGTGTGGAGGGGCGGAGCCCTGGGCGGGAGGGCTGGCTGACCCAGGGTCAGCATTCAGTGCACCCAGCCCCCGTTCTTGCCTCTCCTTTCCCCTCAGACTTCAGGACTTGACGCTCCGAGACCTAGAGAAGCAGGAACGGGAGAAAGCTGCCAACAGCTTGGAAGCGTTCATCTTTGAGACCCAGGTTGGAGGGCTGGGAGGCACCCCTGCTGTGGGACCAGTGTCTGGACAGGTCGGGCCTGCGGGCCTTGTCCCTGGGACTTGCTGCATGCTCGTTTGTGCGCGCACCTCCCTAGGACAAGCTGTACCAGCCCGAGTACCAGGAAGTGTCCACCGAGGAGCAGCGTGAGGACATCTCTGGGAAACTCAGCGCTGCTTCCACCTGGCTGGAGGACGAGGGCTTTGGGGCCACCACAGGGGTGAGGGGCCTCCCTGGACATGCGAGTGGGATGCGTGTCACTCCTTCCGACCCTGGGGTCAGAGAACATGAGGAGAGCGGGGGGGTGAGGCTGTCAGAAAGGGTACGGGCTGGCTCCAGGATTGTCCTGCCGTCCCTTCAACTTCTCTGCCCACCCCCACCCCCATCAGATGTTGAAGGAGAAGCTGACTGAGCTGAGGAAGCTGTGTTATGGCTTGTTTTTCCGGGTGGAAGAACGAAAGAAGTGGCCCGAGCGTCTCTCTGCCCTCGATAATCTCCTCAACCATTCCAGCATGTTCCTCAAGTGAGCAGCCCCTTCACCCTTTCTCCCTTGTTCAGTCCTGCCAAGCCCACCCACTCTCATTCCTATCAGCTTCTCCTTCCCATACCCACACCCCAGGCCCGTCTTCCTCTGGGGGCTGATTATCTCCTCTTGGCTCCCAGGGGGGCCCAGCTCATCCCAGAGATGGACCAGATCTTCACCGAGGTGGAGATGACAACGTTAGAAAAAGTCATCAACGAGACCTGGGTAATGCCGTACGGGGCACTTAACCTGGTGAGGCATGCAGTGTGGGAGGGGCGGAGACGTGAGACCCAGCAGCCTCTGCCTCCTGGCCTAGTAGTAGGGACGGCAAAGGAGGTCTGTGTTTGAGGCCATGTCTGATTAGTCCCAGACAAAGACAAGGGTCACAGCCATGAGCCATCAGACGGAAGAGCCACAGAGCCCATCCCCGTGATGTTAGAGAAAGCTGCTTTGAGGAGCTGGGACTTGACCTAGACTCAGAAAGTGGGCCAGGGTTTAGACAGGTAAGAAAGACTAATCACGTGAAGCAGAAACTGTTTGGATATGGAAGGGACCTTTTTGAACCAAAGCTTGGAAGTGGAGAGACAGGAAGGGAACATATCAGGAGGTTCTGCTGTGGTCTGTCTGAAGTTATGGGATGTAAGCCAGAGACAGGTAGTTTGGGACTCCCTGTGGAAAGCCTCAGATGCCATTCTGAGGAGTCTCCTCACCCCTTTGGGCTGACCCCCAGGGGGAACAGAGTGTTTTAAGGTCCGAGGGAAGAGCCCGAGGCCAGTCGGGGGAATGTTTCATCAGGGACACACATGTCTGCTCTCTACGGACACACACGGCTAGCTCTGAGCCTGTCCCGGCCTTACCCATAGGNCACATCTCTAAATAGCTAAAATTTCTTACATGTCTGTTCCAATGACATTGTCTGTATAACACGGGGTGGTTCAAATTTCTCATTTGTTACTATTGGATTGCTAGATTGTTTGATTGTAAACTCCTTGAGAAGCAGGGACCCTGTTTTTTTCCTCTCAGTTGCATCCCCAGAGACAGATACGTAGTCAGTGCCCAGTAAGTGCAGCTGAGTGAATGGACCAGTGAACTTACTGTGAGGTGTCAGCTATGTGGGGTGGGTCAAGTTCCTGGTAGCTGAAGGGACCCCAGTATTTCCTCACACTTTTCCCTGTTGCCCTCTCCTGAACAGATTTGACCGCACGTTGGGGGGCCTGGAGATGGAGCTCCGGCTGCGTGAGCACCTGGCTGGGCTTTTCAATGAACAACGCAAGGGCCAGCGAACAAAGGACGTGCGGGAGAACCCCCGTGCCATGGCCAAGCTGCTCCGTGAGGCAAATCGACTCAAAACTGTCCTGAGTGCCAATGCTGACCACATGGCACAGGTGCCCACGTGTGGCTGGCTGGGGGCAAATATTCCCACCCGGGGGTAGAGGGCCCCACCGCCCTGAGCTAGGCTGTGCCTGTGCCTCGTGTGGCGCCTCCCCTCTTCCCATGGCCCCTGCCAAGCACGCAAATTCCCGTTCTGTTGGTTTCTGACCTGCCCACCTGGAGAGTGGGACCTGGGCAAGAACTCTCTCATTTCCTCATCCTCCCCCAGATCGAGGGCCTCATGGATGATGTGGACTTCAAGGCGAAAGTGACTCGAGCAGAGTTTGAAGAGCTGTGTGCAGACTTATTTGAGCGGGTGCCCGGGCCTGTGCGGCAGGCCCTCCAGAGTGCTGAAATGAATCTGGTGAGGGGGGTCCTCAGGTGGGCGCGGGGTGGGAGACAGTGGGGCAGAAGGTGACTAAGCGGCAGGGAGGACGGAGCAGAAGTGGTGAGGGAGGAGCCGGTGCTGAGGAGAGCCGACCAGTACCGTCCATTTCACATTCTTTCTCTGCAGGATGAGATCGAGCAGGTGATCCTGGTGGGTGGGGCCACTCGGGTCCCCAGAGTTCAGGAGGTGCTGCTGAAGGCTGTGGGCAAGTGAGTGGGGGCTGGGGCTCCTGAGCTGGGAGAGGGAGGCCGACAGGGACTCCAGAGAAGACGGGCTGATGCTTGGGACCTCCACAGGGAGGAGCTGGGGAAGAACATCAATGCGGACGAAGCCGCCGCTATGGGGGCTGTATACCAGGCAGCTGCGCTCAGCAAAGCCTTCAAGGTGAAGCCGTTTGTCGTCCGAGATGCAGTGATCTACCCCATCCTGGTGAGTGAGCCTGTACGATCTGGTGGGGACAGCTCCCTGTACTCCCAGGCGTGACCTGCCCTGCTGTCTGCTCCGGCTTGTCCCTTGGCCTTTCTGCCCACTGATGCCCCCACCCACCCCTACCCCTGGGCCTGCTCTGGTGGTCTAGTGTGCCTCCCTCTGCCTGCTGTGTAGGTGGAGTTCACAAGGGAGGTGGAGGAGGAGCCTGGGGTTCGCAGCCTGAAACATAATAAACGTGTCCTCTTCTCTCGGATGGGGCCCTACCCTCAACGCAAAGTCATTACCTTTAACCGCTACAGCCAAGATTTCAACTTCCACATCAACTATGGTGACCTGGGCTTCCTAGGGCCCGAAGATCTACGGTGAGGGGGTCAGGCAGGATGGGAGCACCGCGAAGGGAGGCTTTGGGGCCCGCAGGGCTGACAAATAGGAAGCAGGCTGTGGGGGTGGGGGTGGGGTGAGCATCTTCTCTAGAGGGTGCTTCCCTCCTCCTGAGGGACATCTCGTGCCAGGAGGCCGTGGGGTCTGGAGCTGGAAGTTCAGTGGGTCCCCCTGAACTGCTCTCTCCTCCACCAGCGTATTTGGCTCCCAGAATCTGACCACAGTGAAGCTGAAAGGGGTGGGTGAGAGCTTCAAGAAGTATCCGGACTACGAGTCCAAGGGCATCAAGGCTCACTTCAACCTGGACGAGAGCGGTGTGCTCAGCCTAGACAGGGTGAGAGGAGGGGGCTCATACTCGTGGCGGGGCTGGGGGGCCTGGGGGCCAGGCCCCACCCCTCTCCAGTAGAGGTTCCACGTGGCACTAGAACCTGAGAAGCGCAAAGGGTTGGGGAATTAGCTCTAAGCAAAGCCAGCCGGGATCTGGTCTGGGCTGTCTCAGGGCCTGCAGGTAGTTGTGGACCATGTAGATTACCAGAAATGGTCCGGAGAGTTAATGTCTTATGGAACATGCTGTGGGGCATAATGGCCTTTTCTGTTGTGAGTGAGGTGCTGGGCTCTGCCGGGAAAGAAAGGAGCATGAGCCTGTCCCCAGGGGGCTTGAGGTCAGAGGGAGTGGAGGTGACTTGATCCAGGAGCTCATAGGAGGAGGCGGGTGACAGCACAGGGCAGCATAGCCGGGAGCCGCGTGTTGTGTGTAAGCAGGCACCCACTCCAGCAGGAAAGGATGGGTTAGCAAAGCAGTTCTTCATCCTGAATCCCTGTTGTCAGGTGGAGTCTGTGTTTGAGACACTGGTGGAGGACGGTCCAGAAGAGGAATCTACTCTGACCAGTAAGATGAGTGTGCATATGAGTGTGAGAGAATATGTGTTGGTGCGTTTTGGGGAGGCGGGCGGGCCTTGGCCTTGGGTAGGAGGTAGAGTCGCTACTGTGGTCAGTTCCCTTTGAATCTTGTGCTTTTTTCCTTCTAGAACTTGGCAACACAATCTCCAGCCTGTTTGGAGGTGGTACCACACCAGATAGTAAGGAGAATGGTACTGACACTGTCCAGGTAAGGTCAGGAATGGAGCCAGGGAGCATGGAGAATGGTGTGTGGGGCCAGATAGTGGCAGCAGAGGCAGGGAATTGGGGTGGGCATCCCAGCTGCCTAAGATTTAATAGCCCTTCCCTTCCCCCTTGCCGGCTTAACCATACGCTCCTCTGGACTCTGAGCTGGCCCTGTGCTCAAGCGCCAGTTCCCCTCGTCACCAAGCACTTGTCTTTTGTCCAATGGGCTGCCTGGCCCAAACAGCCGGCTGCCTGTTTCCAGACAGTTGTCAGCTGTCTAGCCCGAGCTGTGGTGTGCGGCCTGCCCCTTCAGAGCAGAGCCTGGGGGTCTGGCGTGACTGAGCCAGTTCTGATTCACAGACTGCTGGTGAGTGTTATCTGTGGGTGTGTCTGTGACTGTTTCCCAGGAGGAAGAGGAAAGCACTGCCGAGAGAAGCAAGGATGAGCCCGGAGAGCAGACTGAGCTCAAGGAGGAGGCTGAGGCCCCAATGGAGGATACATCTCAGCCCCCACCCCCCGAGCCTAAGGATGATGCAGTTCCTGGGGGTGAAAAGGCCGCAGAAAAAGAAAATGGGGAAGAGTTTGAGGCCCCGGTGAGCTGCTAAAGCCAGTCTGGACGCGAGGTTAAGGGAGCAGATGCCTGCCTTGTTTCCCAGCCCCTCAAGCCCTGCCACTGGAGAACAGAAGGGCCTAAGCTTTTCCTGACATCCCTATCTTTTTCTCCACCAGAAGCCGAGTGAGAAAAAAGAGGCAGGGTCTGAGGGTGTCCCTCCAGCCCCAGAGGAAGAAAAGAAGCAGAAGCCTGCCCGGAAGCAGAGGGTGGTGGAGGAGATTGGGGTGGAGCTGGCCCTCCTGGACCTGCCAGACCTGCCCGGGGATGAGCTGGCCCGCTCGGCGCAGAAGTGAGTGAAGACCGCGGGCGCCTGTGTGGAGGGGCGGAGCCCTGGGCGGGAGGGCTGGCTGACCCAGGGTCAGCATTCAGTGCACCCAGCCCCCGTTCTTGCCTCTCCTTTCCCCTCAGACTTCAGGACTTGACGCTCCGAGACCTAGAGAAGCAGGAACGGGAGAAAGCTGCCAACAGCTTGGAAGCGTTCATCTTTGAGACCCAGGTTGGAGGGCTGGGAGGCACCCCTGCTGTGGGACCAGTGTCTGGACAGGTCGGGCCTGCGGGCCTTGTCCCTGGGACTTGCTGCATGCTCGTTTGTGCGCGCACCTCCCTAGGACAAGCTGTACCAGCCCGAGTACCAGGAAGTGTCCACCGAGGAGCAGCGTGAGGACATCTCTGGGAAACTCAGCGCTGCTTCCACCTGGCTGGAGGACGAGGGCTTTGGGGCCACCACAGGGGTGAGGGGCCTCCCTGGACATGCGAGTGGGATGCGTGTCACTCCTTCCGACCCTGGGGTCAGAGAACATGAGGAGAGCGGGGGGGTGAGGCTGTCAGAAAGGGTACGGGCTGGCTCCAGGATTGTCCTGCCGTCCCTTCAACTTCTCTGCCCACCCCCACCCCCATCAGATGTTGAAGGAGAAGCTGACTGAGCTGAGGAAGCTGTGTTATGGCTTGTTTTTCCGGGTGGAAGAACGAAAGAAGTGGCCCGAGCGTCTCTCTGCCCTCGATAATCTCCTCAACCATTCCAGCATGTTCCTCAAGTGAGCAGCCCCTTCACCCTTTCTCCCTTGTTCAGTCCTGCCAAGCCCACCCACTCTCATTCCTATCAGCTTCTCCTTCCCATACCCACACCCCAGGCCCGTCTTCCTCTGGGGGCTGATTATCTCCTCTTGGCTCCCAGGGGGGCCCAGCTCATCCCAGAGATGGACCAGATCTTCACCGAGGTGGAGATGACAACGTTAGAAAAAGTCATCAACGAGACCTGGGTAATGCCGTACGGGGCACTTAACCTGGTGAGGCATGCAGTGTGGGAGGGGCGGAGACGTGAGACCCAGCAGCCTCTGCCTCCTGGCCTAGTAGTAGGGACGGCAAAGGAGGTCTGTGTTTGAGGCCATGTCTGATTAGTCCCAGACAAAGACAAGGGTCACAGCCATGAGCCATCAGACGGAAGAGCCACAGAGCCCATCCCCGTGATGTTAGAGAAAGCTGCTTTGAGGAGCTGGGACTTGACCTAGACTCAGAAAGTGGGCCAGGGTTTAGACAGGTAAGAAAGACTAATCACGTGAAGCAGAAACTGTTTGGATATGGAAGGGACCTTTTTGAACCAAAGCTTGGAAGTGGAGAGACAGGAAGGGAACATATCAGGAGGTTCTGCTGTGGTCTGTCCGAAGTTATGGGATGTAAGCCAGAGACAGGTAGTTTGGGACTCCCTGTGGAAAGCCTCAGATGCCATTCTGAGGAGTCTCCTCACCCCTTTGGGCTGACCCCCAGGGGGAACAGAGTGTTTTAAGGTCCGAGGGAAGAGCCCGAGGCCAGTCGGGGGAATGTTTCATCAGGGACACACATGTCTGCTCTCTACGGACACACACGGCTAGCTCTGAGCCTGTCCCGGCCTTACCCATAGGCCTGGAAGAATGCAACCATGGCTGAGCAGGCCAAGCTTCCTACCACGGAGAAGCCTGTGCTGCTCTCAAAAGACATCGAGGCCAAGATGATGGCCCTGGACCGCGAGGTGCAGTATCTCCTCAATAAGGCGAAGTTTGCCAAGCCCCGGCCCCGGCCCAAGGACAAGAATGGCACCCGGGCAGAGCCTCCCCTCAATGCCAGTGCCAGTGAGCAGGGGGAGAAGGTCATCCCTCCTCCAGGCCAGACTGAAGATGCAAAGCCCATTTCAGAACCCGAGAAAGAGACCGGTGAGTTGGAGAAACTTATGGGGAATATGGACAACACTTAACCTAGGTGTCAGCAGACTGGCACGCATAGACTGGATGGTGGCTGTAAACAGCCTTTATGTTTTTAGAAGGTTATTTAAAATATGTATATATGTATATATATATATGCAAGGAGATAGAGTGTGGGCCACACTTCTCAAGAATTTACTGCCTGGCTCTTTACAGAAAAGGTTTGCCAACCCTGCCATACATAGTCCCTTCGTCCCTTCTGCAGAGGCTAACCTATTCCTTCCCCAAAGCAGGATCTGAACACACTGACGCCGAACCTCTGGAGTTAGGGCCAGGAGCAGGCGAGAGTGAGTCTGGGGGATACCCAGGACGCCCGAAGGATCTGGGGGAACAACCTGCACAGGTGGGGTGGGGCCACTGACCTCTGCTCTCCCCACCTCCCAACAGAGTCGGAACAGAAGGAGCAGCCCACAGGACAGAAGCAAACTCTGAAGAATGATGAGCTATAACCCCACCTCCTGTGCCCGTTCACCCCATGCCCTTCTCCTGTCACCTCTATTTATTAAACATCTCGGGTCCGGGGAGGGTGGGTCCTGCCCCTGCCCTCCAAGGCTTCGGTTCCTTTTGTCTCACCAGTGAGTGGAGATGGGGAGGAGGGGAAGGAAGGGGCGGCTCACCAGTTCCTTCTGAAGTCGTTCTGTGGTTAAAACTGAAATTGTTCTGTTCCCGGTCCCACTGCCTGATTCCCTACCCATCCAGGCCCTAATTTGGGAAAAATCACTGTTATGTCTTAATTCTTTGCCGGTGGGTAGATGAGAGAATGGCCGTCAGTGGTTGGCAGACTGGGAGTGGGAAGGGTGTCCCCGGGTGTTCGAGTCTCCAGGCCCCCCTGGTCATTCTTCCCTCCTCTCTTCCACCACGGTCACGCGGGGCCAGCATCTGCAGAGCCTTGGTCTCCAGGTTTGGTTTCTGAGTGCCTATTGATGCTCTTTTTTTCCCAATGTTCTTGCCCTAAAAACCCTCATCCCCATTGATTCCTCTTCCCAGGGGTTTCCTTGGCTTCCTGTTCCAAGTTAGGCAGGTCTCTGCCTCTTGCCCAAGGCCCTGCCATCTGGACTGGCTGAAAAATCTAGATAGATTCCCACTGGCACATTCACCCCTCGCTCGCCAGAATAGGCAGGGAGGAAGTGCTGAAGGGAGTCCAGCCACCTCTATAGGGAGTGAGACGTGGAAACCCGCTAGGGGTCCCACCTGTGGAAACCTTGGCCAGGGAAGCTGCCTGGAGTGGCCGGCTTGGGCTGCCGGCCTGTGCAGACACTGTCAGAATCCACGTGTCCCCAGTGGTGCGGTGCTCTGCATCGCTTTGTCCACCTGCCCTTTCTCCTTTGTTCTGCGCTCCTGGACTTAGCCTTGCCCTTGGCCCCCTGGCCCGTGGGCTGACCACAATGTGCTTTCTACTGTGAGCCCCTGTCCCCAGACCCTAGGAAAGGGAGAGACTGGTGTGAATGTAAAAATGCCACCTCACTCTCTGAGGCAGGCCCTGGGGCGCAGGAAGAGGGGACTGGCCTGCCTGCCATTCATGTGCTGCTCTGCCAGGATGGTGCTTTGCACCGCGCTGACGCTGGGGAGCCTGTCCTCCGGTGTTTCCATCTGTAGCAGGAGCCAGGGCTGCCACCCAGCTCCCAGGGCAAGGGGAGCCTGCTTGTGTCTGTCTTTTGTCTTTTTCTCCTCTTTTTTTTTTTTTTTTTTTTGCCACT